CTGGCTGTATTGGGTGTGGTGAAATCTAATGCTTCCATTCCATATTTCCTTACTTTATTTTCCCCTGTCCATCCAAACCCATGTCCCCGAAACTTGAAATACTCCCAGGCCATGTCCACACTAATACGTTTTCGTTTGAAAACGTATACTTTTCTCTCTGTTTTGGCCTTCCGTCCACACTGAGACGGCGTTTTAAGTCAACGAAAACGTAGCGTTTGGAAAACGCTCTCCAAAGTGGATAGATTTGAAAACGCCGTTTTCGCGTTGTAGTGTGGACTGTGAAGCCGGAGGTATTTGAAAACGATGACGTAAGTTTAGTCATGTGATCCATGTTGTACCAATAGATATTCATGTTTACCGGTATTGTGCCTGTTAATTATGTGCGATTCACTTTTACACTGTTGCTAAAATATGTTACTTTGCACACTCTTCATATCACAGTAGCCTACTGCAAAGATGACAGAAAATGTACTCACATTTGCTGTCCTGCGGCAAAACATGAGAGCGGTTTCGTTTTAGACCAAACATATGGTGACTGAGTGCGACCTGGACGCATCAGTGAATGGTGAGATATTTTGCTAAATAAAATTATCATGTTAGAAGAATTGCGCGATACCTTTATTATTTATTTTTCCAACTGTATCATCTCAGTGAGCTTTTATGAGGTTTCACGCATGCGCAGTAAGGTGAATTTATAAGTTTCTCATCCACACTGAAACGTCTGAAAACGCCTGAAAACGCTAGTGTGGACGGAGAGCGTTTTTAAACGAAAACTCCGTTTTCAAATGTATCCGGATTAATGTAGACGTAGCCCCAACAATCCTCTGTAATCTTCTTTGCAGGGTTTTCTTCCCCACTTCCTCCCAATCTGACCCAATACGCTAACGCTAGTTTTTCTCTTCTTAATTCCAGTGGTGTCTCTCCAGCTTCTATGAGTAGTGTGCTAATGATGTCATGTGCTTCTTCTCATGTGTTGTTTTCATTTGTTCATTGTCTTGATTGTTCACAGGTGTGTCTTGTTTAGTCATCAGTCCTTGTGTATTTAAGCTCTCATGTTTACCTTGTTACTTTGTCAAGTATTGTCAGTCAAGTATGGAAGTAAAATAATCCCAAATGTTTTTGAAACAAAAAGCCTGTTGAATTGTACTACTTGGAAAAAAATATGCATTGCATTAACCCTGCTTGTATTTTAATGCATTGTATTTTTAGGGCTTGCATTTTTATAGGCTGAAATTTAGCATGGTTGAATATTTAAGCTGTGAATATTTCAAATCAAAACATTTCAAACACATTTTCATTAGTAAAATTTCAATAATCCATATTCACCTTTCATATTTCATTTACCAAATATTCAAACTGATTAAAAATACGACCTATAATATTCAACAGGCGGTTTTCGGTCCATTTTATTTCGCTTTGCAAATTCGCTTCCACAAATTCAGTGGTTCAAATTCGACAGTAAATTCAACATTGACATCCAGGAGCTGCAGGAAAAGTAGTAGATTACAGAGCATAATCTCCATCTGCTGTTAGTCGACCACACCAGCAGGGGGTGCAAGCGCGTGTTGTTGACGAAGACCAGAGCAACAGTTAGTGCAAGCCATTCATTCATAAAAACTAATTTACAAAAATGTAAGTGTATTTGTGATTATTATGACGTCTGTTTTATGTGAAATTCAGTGTGTTCACGATTACTTTTTCTTGTGTAGCCTACATGCATCTTTCTCTACCATGAACAATAATGTTATTCCCCCGATGCGGATGTACAGTGTTACATTTGACATATTTCTCTTGGTTGTTTAGTTGCCTTAACCTTATATTATAGCGATGTGCTGCATGCAGTAGCTACTAGGGTTTGGTTTCCCTCAATATCAGGATTCCCCTGCTGGACATATAAAACGCTTAACGTAGCTTAATGGACATAAAAGACCAAACTCGCAGGCTAGCAGATGGACTCAGAATATGAATTTAACGCGCAAAGTTTAATGCTGAGCGTTTCCCAGTGATATACTGGCATAAATTTGGTTTGACATTGGACATTCGCACATTTAGGGACCGTCTCTAAAGTTACATACGAAATTGGTATACCCGTTTCTAACTTCAATACCATTTGAAAAGAACGACTTACAGTCATAAAACCAACTGTAAAGTGTTCATGTAGGTGTCAGGCTCAGGCATAATGCGCAATTTATTCAAATAGATTGAAGTTTGCTATTGAAGTTAGAAACGTTTAGGCCTATAGGACTTGTTACTTTAGAGACGGTCCCTAAATGTGCGAATGTCAACCCAATTTTACATTTAGTCTTTTAGCTGGCACTTTTATCCAAAGCGACTAGTTAAACTAACAATATAGAACAACAATATGAAAGTGCTACTTCCCAGTTTAATCTAATGCAGTACATGTACAATACATACTTTCCAAATAAGGTGCGAGTTTGGTCTTTTATATCACTGTAGTCCATTAAGCTACGTTAAGCGCTTTGTCCTGACGGAATTCGGGGAATCTTTGAGTATGATGATGTATTGAGGGAAACAGATTATAATCCCGTTCACTGTAGAAAAGGCTGATAACATAAGGCTACACAGGGAAAGTAACAATGAATGAAACATAAAAACAGCTTTTGTGCCTTTATCATCTTTTCCGCATATATACTGACCCAGATAATCGTCACAAAAAACATAATGCATGCTGAGTTTTTATGAATGAATGGCTTGCTCTAGTCTAACTGTTGCTCTGGTCTTCGTCAACAACACGCGCTTGCACCCCCTGCTGGTGTGGTCGACTAACAGCAGATGGAGATTATGCTCGGTAATCTACTACTTTTCCTGCAGCTCCTGGATGTCAACGTTGAATTTACTGTCGAATTTGAACCACTGAATTTGTGGAAGCGAATTTGCAAAGCGAAATAAAATGGACCGAAAACCGCCTGTTGAATATTATAGGTTGTATTTTTAATAGAGGTGGGCATAGATTATTTTTTTTAATCTAGATTAATATTGAAATTAATCTAGATTAATCTAGATTAAAATGGCTCATTTGAATTCTGCCGAAGGCATTCAGAATGTGTGCTACCCAAATAATGACTAAAAGTAAGTCTTTGAGAATAGTTTGCCTCGCGTAGGGATGTGCATTCTGCCAAAAATGCCATTCGACATTCGAGGAGCAAAAGTCGAATATCGTAAAAAAAAAAAAAAAAAAAAAAAAAAAAATGACAGAAAGGGAGGCCAATTTCATCTTTAGCGATTTGTCATCAAACAAACTGTTTATTAATTGAACAAGTAACATGTTTTCGTCCCTTTTTTTAACATAGTAGGCTAATTGGAAGAAGAAAAAAAACAATACGCACGTACAGTCCGTTTTTGCATCGCCAAGCTCGTTAGATCAAAAAATAATGTCATCATATGTCATAAGAATTTTATGTGAACCTGCCTTGTTAAGTGCAATAGCCTCATTTTTAAACAAATTAGTTTCAATCAATGTAAACTATTCGTGTGATTATGCCACTGCGCAAAACATGCGCAATACACACACAATGCATTACCTGAATGAAATGAAATCGAATGTATCGTCCTGTGGAATCATTCATTCACAGAGAGCTTACGAAGATGTTCAACTAATAAAGATCTTCATCGCTGGCAAAAATATGATGCATTTGCAGATTTGCATTCACTAGACTAGACTGTAGATCGGCCACTTCATCCAACGCTCTTGATGCTCTTAAGTCTTCCTGTTTCGACTCCGAGTGTGAATTGAAAGCGCTTCAGACGATTCAGTGCGTGAGGAACTGAACAGATCAACTGATTCGCGAACCGATTTAGACAGATCATCTGACAACTTGTTTGATGAAGTCTTTGAACAGAATCGACTCAAAAGAGTGATTCATTTGTAAATGAGCATCGCTCATGCCCATACAAAGGACACAGCGCGCTTGGAATAAACTCATACAATGTATTGCATTAAAATAAAGTAATGAGAGGTACGTCTCCCAACGTAACAAAGTAAAAGTACACCTTGTGTCCCTGACAGGAAAATACCCTACTGCGCGATCTGTGACAGTAGGCGCGGCGTCATACTACACATTAGAATTGCGCGAAAATATAACGATATTCGAAAAAGCTATTTATGATCCCAACCCAACTTTGATTAACGGCGATATTTTTTTTATCGCCCGATAAGAGTCTCACGTTAACGCAGCACGTTAACGCCGATAACGGCCCAGCACTAATTTTTAATCAGTTTGAATATTTGGGAAATGAAATATGAAAGGTGAATATGGATTATTGAAATTTTACTAATGAAAATGTGTTTGAAATGTTTTGATTTGAAATATTCACAGCTTAAATATTCAACCATGCTAAATTTCAGCCTATAAAAATACAAGCCCTAAAAATACAATGCATTAAAATACAAGCAGGGTTAATGCAATGCATATTTTTTTCAAGTAGTACAATTCAACAGGCTTTTTGTTTCAAAAACATTTGGGATTATTTTACTTTCATAGTCAAGTCAAGTCATTATGATGGAGGGAAAAACAGCCACATTGCAAAAACTTACTACTGTTTATTACTGATATTTTGTGCCAGGAAGAGACGATTTTGTTCTCTTGAACACAATTTTAATTCACATCTTTGGATGGAGACACAGCTACTGACTCAGAGTTGGGGGCGGACCTATTAATTATACTGACCAATGGCAGATAGGGGCGTGTCCAATATTTCAGCTCTGGTGACATTAGTGGAAATTACACACCTCAGATTTACAGTAAGAATAAACTGAATAATGAATTAAAATTAGTACAGAAAATGTATTTATTAAAATATTTTATTGAGTATTGATGAAGCAACACATTGATTTAAATCTTTTGAAACCTCGTTTTGGTATTACAACACAAGAAGTTTTGGTATTACAACACAAAGAGTCATACAAGTACATACAAAAACTGATTGGCACATCACTGGCATGCAGCAGTCGAGGTGTGTGTTCCTGCAGCAGACGAGGTGTGTGTTCACTCAGCAGACCGAGGTGTGTGTTCTGCTGTTCCTGATTCACACGCGCTCCGCTCCTGGCCGTGCTGCTGCGCGTGTGGGAGGCGGGTAGGTTTTCCCAGCGGCTTTGCTGGGACAGTTACAGCACAGCATGCTTCCACCGATGACAGTCAGCGCCGACGCTCCCCAGCCCACGTACAGAGCCTTGCCGAACTCATACCTGCCAGCACACCAGCAACAACATCAGCGCCTGGCCACTGAACCACATGACCATGAGCCGTACACATCACATGACTTCACCAGCGGCTGGCCACTGAACCACATGACCATGTAGAGCTGTACACGTCACATGACTTCACCAGCGGCTGGCCACTGAACCACATGACCATGTAGAGCTGTACACGTCACATGACTTCACCAGCGGCTGGCCACTGAACCACATGACCATGTAGAGCTGTACACGTCACATGACTTCACCAGCGGCTGGCCACTGAACCACATGACCATGTAGAGCTCTACACGTCACATGACTTCACCAGCGCCTGGCCACTGAACCACATGGTCATGTAGAGCTGTACACGTCACATGACTTCACCAGCGGCTGGCCACTGAACCACATGACCATGTAGAGCTGTACACGTCACATGACTTCACCAGCGGCTGGCCACTGAACCACATGACCATGTAGAGCTGTACACGTCACATGACTTCACCAGCGGCTGGCCACTGAACCACATGACCATGAGCCGTACACGTCACATGACTTCACCAGCGGCTGGCCACTGAACCACATGACCATGTAGAGCTGTACACGTCACATGACTTCACCAGCGGCTGGCCACTGAACCACATGACCATGAGCCGTACACGTCACATGACTTCACCAGCGGCTGGCCACTGAACCACATGACCATGTAGAGCTGTACACGTCACATGACTTCACCAGCGGCTGGCCACTGAACCACATGACCATGTAGAGCTGTACACGTCACATGACTTGACCAGCGGCTGGCCACTGAACCACATGACCATGTAGAGCTGTACACGTCACATGACTTGACCAGCGGCTGGCCACTGAACCACATGACCATGTAGAGCTGTACACGTCACATGACTTGACCAGCGGCTGGCCACTGAACCACATGACCATGTAGAGCTGTACACGTCACATGACTTCACCAGCGGCTGGCCACTGAACCACATGACCATGTAGAGCTGTACACGTCACATGACTTCACCAGCGGCTGGCCACTGAACCACATGACCATGTAGAGCTGTACACGTCACATGACTTGACCAGCGGCTGGCCACTGAACCACATGACTATGTAGAGCTGTACACGTCACATGACTTCACCAGCGGCTGGCCACTGAACCACATGACCATGTAGAGCTGTACACGTCACATGACTTCACCAGCGGCTGGCCACTGAACCACATGACCATGTAGAGCTGTACACGTCACATGACTTCACCAGCGGCTGGCCACTGAACCACATGACCATGTAGAGCTGTACACGTCACATGACTTCACCAGCGGCTGGCCACTGAACCACATGACCATGTAGAGCTGTACACGTCACATGACTTCACCAGCGGCTGGCCACTGAACCACATGACCATGTAGAGCTGTACACGTCACATGACTTCACCAGCAGCTGGCCACTGAACCACATGACCATGTAGAGCTCTACACGTCACATGACTTCACCAGCGGCTGGCCACTGAACCACATGACCATGTAGAGCTGTACACGTCACATGACTTCACCAGCAGCTGGCCACTGAACCACATGACCATGTAGAGCTCTACACGTCACATGACTTCACCAGCGGCTGGCCACTGAACCACATGACCATGTAGAGCTGTACACGTCACATGACTTCACCAGCGGCTGGCCACTGAACCACATGACCATGTAGAGCTGTACACGTCACATGACTTCACCATGGTTTAGGCTTATTCAAGACACAATTCAATTAATCAAAAACAATATGCACTATAATGGATGGATTTACCAGTGTATTATTGAGCTATTCAAATATGAATATATTAGACGTAAAGCCACACACTGAAAAAACTAAATATTGAACCAATCCATAAATATAATTTAAGGAATTACATTTGGCTGTATGAATTAAGTTGGTATAAAGTGTACTGTGAAGAGTAAACGCTGCCCGTCTCGTGGACTCCTGACACTTACCTCGAATTAGTCGGAGTGAACGGATCGAAGAACTTGCGTCTTATGTTTTCTCCATACCAGCTTGTGGCAATAAGAGCACACACCCTTGTAGACATAAGAAGAGGCTTGACATGAACATGCTGCTGAGTTCCTGTTTGAAAGGGGTCCTGTTATGCCCTTTAATGAAGTCTTGATTTTGTTTTTCGAGTGCACTAGAATATGTTTTCATGCTTGATTGTTCAATAAACGCATTATTTTTCACATATTTTACATTATTACATCTCCTCTCTACCCAGACTGGTTGAACGCATTATTTTCGATGAAGCTCCTCCTTCTGAAATACGAAATGTGTTGTGATTGGCAGCGTTTACAGTAGCTCATATTCGGGAAATGTCCCACACCTTCATAACCGCAAGATGTAAAAATTAACGATGGCATCCATTTCAAACGATTTCGAGCCCGATTCAGACCCTGACAATGTTAACGAACAAAAGGATCTTGCTGAACGGATTTCAAGCATGGACTTTGCAAGCACTGATTTAACAGGACGTTTCAGAGTGGTATATTTTTGTAATTTTCTTATACATTATAGATACAATGTTATCCACCATTTAATCATATTTGTGGGAAAACTATGGTAATACAAACAGTAATCGATCACAAAATCATGGATAACGTTCCTAAGGAGCGGTGAACCATCTTCCAAAAGCAACAGAAAACAAGCTGTTCTCCGTAAAATGTGCAGCGCACAGATAAACGCTGAGGTTATTATATTCAGGAACAGTGCTTAAAATAAAATGCAGCCACTCTGAGTTCGTCAGCCTTAGGAAGGTCAAACAAATGAGTTTTGGAAACGTGGAAAAAAATAGCGTCTCTTCAACATAGCGACAGCACTGTCTTCTCAGCTCAACCAGGCCTCGGCTCCTCTTTTGCATATTCCGTGGGCGGGGCTTATTCAAATAAGGAACATTATGACATCATAAGATCCGAAATAATCGTGTTGTAGTCTAAACGAGTCGCTCGTTGTAGTTCTTGGAAAGTGGATCTGTTCAATAAAATATCTCCCTTTGGAGTGGACTTTGAGCTTCGTAACCTTGTAGATCTTTTTTATGCGCCAACAGCAACATTACACACTAACTAAAGTTGAAAAAGTGGAAAAGCATAATAGGACCCCTTTAATAATTTCATAACTTTGTTGACCTCGTTAAGCTGAGCAATGGCACACATGAGTCGTTTCTGTAATGAATATAATAGCAACATATCTGCGATGACGAAGAGGACGCCTCCGGCCACGGCCACCTTGTTCTTCTGCTCGGTGTTGCCGGACAGGCAGGTTGTGCACTTCATCCCGACGGCGGCGATCAACAGGCCGATGCCACACAGGAAGGCGGCGAGGATCATGAGAGCACGAGTGCCCTGAACTTCCCCTGAGAGAGAACCAAGAGACATCACATCATCACATCCCAATCCCATCGCATCATCACATCCCAATCCCATCGCATCATCACATCCCAATCCCATCACATCATCACATCCCATCACATCATCACATCCCCATCCCATCGCATCATCACATCCCAATCCCATCGCATCATCACATCCCATCGCATCATCACATCCCATCACATCATCACATCCCATCGCATCATCATATCATCACATCCCATCACATCATCACATCCCAATCCCATCGCATCATCACATCCCATCCCATCATCACATCCCATCATCCCATCCCATCATCACATCCCATCATCCCATCATCACATCCCAATCCCATCCCATCATCACATCCCATCGCATCATCACATCCCATCACATCATCACATCCCATCGCATCATCACATCATCACATCCCATCACATAATCACATCCCAATCCCATCGCATCATCACATCCCAATCCCATCCCATCATCACAACCCATCACATCCCATCATCATGTCCATCCCATCACATCCCATCCCATCCCATCATCATATCCCATCCCATCATCACATCCCATCGCATCATCACATCCCATCACATCATCACATCCCATCACATCATCACATCCCATCCCATCATCACATCCCATCCCATCATCACATCCCATCGCATCATCACATCCCAATCCCATCACATCATCACATCCCATCCCATCGCATCATCACATCCCATCGCATCATCACATTATCACATCCCATCACATCATCACATCCCAATCCCATCGCATCATCACATCCCAATCCCATCCCATCATCACATCCCATCACATCCCATCATCACATCCCATCACATCATCCCATCCCATCATCACATCACATCCCATCATCACATCACATCACATCCCATCATCACATCCCATCCCATCCCATCACATCATCACATCCCATCGCATCATCACATCCCATCGCATCATCACATCCCAATCCCATCACATCATCACATCCCATCGCATCATCACATCCCATCGCATCATCACATCCCAATACCATCACATCATCACATCCCAATCCCATCGCATCATCACATCCCAATCCCATCACATCATCACATCCCATCGCATCATCACATCCCATCACATCATCCCATCACATCACATCACATCCCATCCCATCACATCACATCACATCCCATCGCATCATCACATCCCATCATATCCCATCCCATCATCCCATCACATCCCATCACATCATCACATCCCATCACATTCCATCATCACATCCCATCACATCCCATCACATCCCATCCCATCACATCATTACATCCCATCGCATCATCACATCCCATCAGATCATCACATCATCACATCACATCCCATCCCATCCCATCTCATCGCATCATCACATCCCATCACATCACATCCCATCATCACATCCCATCACATTCCATCATCACATCCCATCCCATCCCATCATCACATCCCATCCCATCACATCATCACATCCCATCCCATCATCACATCCCATCACATCATCACATCCCATCGCATCATCACATCCCAATCCCATCGCATCATCACATCCCATCGCATCATCACATCCCATCGCATCATTACATCCCATCGCATCATCACATCCCATCAGATCATCACATCATCACATCCCATCACATCCCATCCCATCTCATCGCATCATCACATCCCATCACATCCCATCATCACATCCCATCACATCCCATCATCACATCCCATCCCATCACATCATCACATCCCATCCCATCATCACATCCCATCACATCATCACATCCCAATCCCATCGCATCATCACATCCCACCGCATCATCACATCCCATCGCATCATCACATCCCATCACATCATCACATCCCAATCCCATCACATCATCACATCCCAATCCCATCGCATCATCACATCCCAATCCCATCCCATCATCACATCCCATTACATCATCCCATCCCATCACATCCCATCCCATCGCATCATCACATCCCATCACATCATCACATCCCATCCCATCATCCCATCACATCCCATCACATCATCACATCCCATCACATCCCATCACATTCCATCATCACATCCCATCCCATCACATCCTATCCCATCACATCATCACATCCCATCGCATCATCCCATCCCATCACATCATCACATCCCATCCCATCCCATCCCATCTCATCGCATCATCACATCCCATCACATCCCATCATCACATCCCATCACATCCCATCACATCCCATCATCACATCCCATCACATCCCAGCATCATATCACATCCCATCCCATCGCATCATCACATCCCATCCCATCATCACATCCCATCACATCCCAGCATCATATCACATCCCATCCCATCGCATCATCACATCCCATCCCATCATCACATCCCATCACATCCCATCCCATCACATCACATCATCACATCCCATCGCATCATCACATCCCATCACATCATCCCATCCCATCATCCCATCACATCCCATCCCATCACATCCCATCCCATCACATCCCATCACATCATCACATCACATCCCATCATCACATCCCATCCCATCCCATCCCATCACATCATCCCATCCCATCATCACATCCCATCGCATCATCACATCCCATCGCATCCATCGCATCATCACATCCCATTGCATCATCACATCCCATCCCATCCCATCACATCATCACATCCCATCGCATCATCACATCCCATCACATCATCCCATCCCATCATCCCATCACATCCCATCCCATCACATCCCATCCCATCCCATCCCATCACATCATCACATCACATCCCATCACATCATCACATCCCATCCCATCATCACATCCCATCGCATCCATCGCATCATCACATACCATCGCATCATCACATCCCATCACATCATCACATCCCATCCCATCATTCCATCATCCCATCCCATCGCATTGCATCAGCACATCGCATCACATGACATGACATCAATTCCCATCACATCCCATCGCATTGCATTAGCACAAATTGCATCACATCATCGCATCCCATCAAATCACATTGCATCCCATCGATTCCCAATCCATAACATGCCATCAAATCTTTATATATACATATAGATTATACATTGTTTATGAAGTGTTTTTCCGTTATAGATTGATGTTCCTTTTTAAAATGTAGCTACTTGTATCAGAACGTTCAGAGAACATTACATTTTATCATTCTTCAATCATTATAGGAACGTTACTTTCAGAGAAAGAAGAATGATTAAATGGAATGTTCTCTGAACGTTCTGAAACAAGTAACATTTTTATAAAATAATTGGCAAACATCCAAATAAAATTGTTTCGGAAAAACGTTCCAAGAATGATGTATACTGTAAATAATGTTGTTGTGCTAACAAAGAACATTCTTAAAGACCAGATATCTTTGAGCGAATGTGCTATCAATGTTACAGGAAGAACGTGTGTTCATAACTTTAGAGAACCTATTTTTTGTCTTCCCATTATTGTTACACAAATACAGTTCGAGCTCAGATGAAGATTAAAGTCTTAAACTCATACATCCCGAGGTGTTTCAGTGGTCTACACACATGCTGAAGAATTCGCGGCATTCGCCTGACTTGTCTAAACCTGCGCAGGAATAAGCGCTCACACACACACACACACACACACTGATGAACGGAACGGAATGAACGGGCGCGCGCACCTGGGATCTGCAGCAGGGAGTCGTAGACTTTACACTGGAGCTGGCCTGTGCTCTGGGACACGCAGGACTGCCAGAGCCCCTCGTACATGGCCTGGGCTGTGATGATGTTGTCCCCGGCGTAGGAGGAGATCTTCCACTCGGCCATGGCTGTGGAAGCGATGAGACCCAGGAGACCCAGAGAGGCCAGGACATACCCGAGGAGCTGCAGACCCGCGTTGGCCATCAGTGCGCTGAGTTAAAGCCCGCTGGAGTGAGTGAGGAGAGCTGAGAGCTGCTGACACATGAATGAAACTCCTCCAGCATCATCATCATCATCATCATCCGCACGAGCTCGAAGCCACACCTGAAGATCCGCTCGCGCCTCCTACCGCTTCACACACACTCATAGGCCACTCACCGTATCCATTATGCGCTAATAATACAACGACGACAACGACAACAAAACGTAGTCTATATTAAAGAATAATTATATGACAAGTTACACAATAAAATATAGTAGCGGGGCACAAACTAACGCGGGGTTGGAACACACTTTTAAAATGCACTTCTAAAATACTTCCACACATGCCAGCATGATGAAACTTAGTGTATTGAAACTTAGTGTATTTACCATGGTATTTACTAGCTTCCATATCAAGAAAACATTGCGCCAAAATTCAGAAATCTTTGGCAATGAACGTTTATTTAACAGTAGCAAAATGTCTTGTGCCAATTTTCATCTCTGTTTTTTTTTTTTTTTTTTTTTTTTTTATTAGACAAATCTGATATTATTTTAATCTTATATCTGTTATTTAACAGTTGATATAGTTCTTTAATACTGATCTAACAGCAGAAACACTCGCCGGGTTTAAATCCCTCAGGCGGGGCATGTTGTCACACTGCGTTACAGAGCCTCTATTCGAACTATTATATTATATTATATTATATTATATTATATTATATTATATTATATTATATTATATTATATTATATTATATTATATTATATTGAGAAACCATGAGAAACAGATGCATACAGACTGAGAGTCAATGTTCAGAAATTATTTATTATTATGTTTTGAACTATGCTGTATATAGTTGTGTTGTCAAACTAAAAAAATGGTTTATTTTTAATTATTAAAAAATGACATTTTATCTGAAAAGTTAATAATTGTATTTTATTGAGAAAATATTTGAGTTTGTCTTGAGTATTATTTTGATTATATCAGATTAATCTGTCATATGGTCATGTTACAGTGAACACCACCTATGGGGCATGTTGTCACATCTCACTTCCATTCTTTCAGGGTATATCAAGAAAAAAGTAAACACTGTATTAATAAAAAAAAAAAACATAATTGTTCTAGACGTGTGAAATGAATGAGGGGAAAAGAAATACTTCTTAAACCCTAAATAGATTTACACAAACTGAGAAAGTCGAAGGCTTTAGGTTTATGGAGCTATTAATGTGTCTTTATTTCATGCGATAAAATAAATGATCTGAGAGAAAGAAAGAAAAAGTTTGAGAGAAAAAGTTATCACACTGATAGAAAAAAAGCATTTCATGAGAGAAAAAAGAATATTTGAGAGAAAAAGTATTCATTTCAATAGCAAAAAAAAATATTTGAGACTTAAAAAAGTTTTGAGAGAAATTTTCTCATAGAACATAAATAAATATAAATTAGATTTTTTTTTTATTATTTCTGAGAAAAAAACTCTCAAAATACTTTGAAAAAAATCTTAAATATATATTTTTTTCTATCAGTGTGAAAACATTTTCTCTCTCTCTAAAAAGAAAAGTGTTTCTCTCAAACCGCTTTTCTTTGCTCTCGATGCAATTTTTTGCTCTCTGTCAGGATTTTGCTTTCGCTGTGAAAATTGTGTCATGGGCGGGGCCACGTTCTTTTTTTCCTATTGGAACGTTCCTATTGGCCAGTCGGGTGAGCATCGTCTTGTCTTGGGAGTCGAACTGAATCATTACACCATTGTTCGGTTCACCTAGAGATGTACTCCAATGTTTGGGTAAGATGATGGCACACACAACTCGATGGGTAGCTGGCTGAGCAAGTTCAGCATCACTGAAGATTAAACATTAAAAAATAAAGACACATTAATAGCTCCATATAGGTTGTGCCGCTCTCCCCATCACAGCTGCACTGATCAAACATGCGAAACTAAACTGATTACATTCACTGGTTAAATTCACTGAATTAACTGGTTGTAGTCAAGTAAAAAATATTATTCATTAATATTGTAATATTGCTGAATCAACATAAATACATTAATTTATACCAACCAAATTCATTTTCATGGGTTAAATCAAGTTCTGTGAACTTTGGCGAAAGTTATGAAAAAAACGTTACGTTAATAGAATGTTTGTTCAATGTTATCTGGTCTATAATATCGCAACCAAAACATTAATACATCTTTCATGGAGTGTTTTTTCCGAAACGTTTTAGATTAACGTTCCTTTTTAAATGTTACTTCTTGTTTCAGAGCGTTCAGAGAACATTCAAAAGTAACGTTCCCATAATGATAGAAGAATTACACAATGCAATGTTCCCTTAATGTTCACATAACCCAGATATTTTTAAAGGATGTAAAAAACTGGACGTTTTTATGACTCAGAAAATGTTGAATGTTAGAAAATCTGTTTTACTGGAACACGTGTTTGTCAGCTGAGATCATATCAGAACTATTGCACAGTAGTCGATGTAAGAACATGCTGAAGATTATTTTAACATGATCCTAAAACAACAATATTTTTAATGAGGAGATATTGATATGATCTATGACAGAACCAGTCAAGCAACTTTATTATGTTTTTGATGTATGAAATATAATAAATATGAATAAACTGATAGATGTAGATATGATGAGGGGCCGGTCACCTTGATTTTGTTTTCTTATTGGGTCTGTGAAAAAGTGAGACTGAATTCATAAATGCTGTTGATTTATTTGCTTTTCTACAGTGTTCTGAAATCCTCCTGGATTCTGTTTACTACAGAAAAGCAAATAAGTCAAAGCCTGGACCCGGTGTTGCTCAACTCTCTGAATGGGTCAATCCATAAGTCTTGCTCTGCACAAATACAAACCCTCCTCTGTCCTGCTTTCCCACATCATCACTGGGTTTGGGAGAACTCTTCATTAATGTCGACCTAAATTAATGATGTTCTGACCGGCACTCACTGTGTTTCGGCAGTCTGAGGGGCCGAGAGTGATGTCACAGGTGGACTGGACCAATCACAGCGCTCGTCTCCGGCTCGGACAGATCCTCAGTCACTCGGGTCTCCTGGAGCTGATGTGTGCAACGGCGGTACGTCTCTCTCCAAAGAAACAGCAAGGCATTACTCATTTTCATGCTTTTAGTTACTTTATTGATATTTTTATCTGTAGTCCCCTGATATTTTATGACCTAATTTAAATGTTCGGTAACTTTTTACAATGAGGTTCATTAGTTAAAATTAGTTAATGTATTAACTAACATGCACTAACAATGAGTAATACATTTGTTACTGTGTTTGTTAATGTTAATACAAATCCAGCTGTTCATTGTTTGTTCATGTTAGTTCACAGTGCATTAACTAATGTTAACAAATACAACCTTTGACTTTAAAAATGTATTAGTAAATGTTGGAATTAATATTAACTAAGATTAATAAATGCTGAAGAAGTATTTTGTTCATTCTGGTTAACTAATGTTTACTAATGAACCTTATTGTAAAGTGTTATTACTGTTACCAAATGTTTGTTTTTTGGGGATAATATTAATATAAATAGCCGATAAATGAGATCTTAACAATTCAAGACCATTCGTCAGGTATCATGAACAATAGACAACATTATTTTACAGCTTTTATTAATCTAGGTTAATGTCAATTCATAAATATACTCTTGTTACTTGTTAATTCAATGTTTACGCAATAATAAGGTCCTGTTTAGTTGAAGTTAGTTAATGTATTAACAAACACTATCTAACATTGAGCAATACATCTGTTACAGTATTTAGTAATCTTTGTTAATAAAAATAACTGTTCATTAGTTCAGGTACAATAATTACACGTTATTAAATGTTATACTGACATTAAGTTAGTAAATGTTGACATTAACATTAACTAAGATTTATAAATGCTTTAGACGTATTTTTCATTCTTAGTTCATGTCAATTAATGTGGTTAACTAATGTTAACAAGGGAAACCTTATTGTGAAGTGTTAACGTGTGTAAAAGTAATGGGTCTGATTTCCGAGGGAACACACACATGGGCAAACATGTGCTGTGGATAAAAGTGTCTGCCAAAATGTTCTGTAAGGTTAAGCAAAACCTTTCATTTACTTTCAATCATCAAGTCCTAATGTGCATTAGATGACATCCAGCGTGTTTTCTTCTGTAATGAATCTTCATGAAAATGCAGAGATCTTTGAACCTCACGTTACATTTGCAAACTGCACATGAGAGAAAAATGCTATTATTTTTGTTGGAAACTGGAAGAGACGCAGCGACTGCAACTGACCTTTGGCTTTTCTGTTCCCAGAAGTCATGAGCAAACACTGGGCTGCACTTCTGCTGGTCCTGATCCAGCTCCACCGCAGCCGTGGCTGTCCCGCCCCGTGCCAGTGCTTCTCGGCCGCGAAGGTGGTCTGCGCAGACGAGGCCATGACAGCGCTGCCGCTCAACATCTCAGCTCAGGTCAGGGAGCTGATCGTAGTGGCGTCGGGCGTCACGCATCTGGACGGACGCTCCTTCAGGGAGAACCTCAGACTCAGCAAACTGGTGTTCCTCAACGGCCAGGTGAAGTCGGTCTCGGGCGACGCCTTCGAGCGGCTGCCGGAGCTGCGGGAGCTGGAGATCAGCGGGAACCCCTCGCTGGCGCTTCAAGGGCAGGCCTTCGCCTCGCTGGCCAACCTCACAAGACTGATGCTCAACCACAACAAGATCAGCACTCTGGCCGCCCGCATCTTTGAGTCTTTGCAGAAGCTGGAGATGCTGCAGTTGAAGGGGAACGGCTTGTTGTCTCTTCCCGGTCGTCCCTTCCATGGTCTCCACAATCTGCTGGAGCTGGACCTGTCCTTCAACCAGATCGACTCGGTCCCGGCGGATGTGTTCCAGAACAACTCTCTCCTGAGAGCGCTCTCGCTGCAGGCCAACATGATCCCGCAGCTTCCGGCGGGGATCTTCTCCCACCTGGATCACCTGGAGGAGCTGAACCTCCGAGGCAATCGCATACGCGAGCTGAGCGCCGACGTGTTCCCGCACAGCCTCCGGAAGCTCGTCCTCAAAAAGAACGATCTGGCGCAGCTCCACCCCTCGCTCTTCCACAAACTGCTTCTCGTTACCTATCTGGACTTGTCTCAGAATCAGCTCTCCGAGCTCCCTGCGAATCTCTTCCAGAACCTCATCTCGCTGAAAAAGCTGGATCTGTCCGAGAACCGGATTACGACGCTTCCCGGCACCGTCTTCAAAGGGCTGTTCGGTGTGAAAGCCATCCATCTGCAGAAGAACAACCTGAGCTCCCTGGAGGAGGATCTGCTGAAGGATCAGCACGGCATGGAGCAGCTGTACCTGTCCATGAACCGCCTACGGAGAGTCCCGCACGGCTTATTCGACGATCTGGACTTCCAGTGCCTCGTTCAGCTCCACGGGAACCCCTGGCGCTGCGACTGCGGGATACAATACCTCTCCGACTGGATCAGGAACAACCTCAGGAACGTGGAGGACGTGGCGCGGGTTTACTGTCAAGCTCCCGAGTTTATCCGAGGGCACAGCCTGGTGTCCGTGGACGAGGAGCGGCTCGTCTGTGGGAAAAACTCCAGCTCCGCCGACACAAACACCACAGAGATCCCAGTTGATGGCGATGGTGGCGATGGTGGCGTTCACTGCTCGCTCCGAGATTTCAAAGGCCAGGCAACCATTCAGTGCAAACTCACTAAATGCACCAGCGTGAAGTTTCAGGCTCTTTTTGAATTTGGGGATGGAAGTGAATCGGAAAGAGTCGTGAGCAAAGAGTGGCCAGCGCCTGCCGGGTGCTCCAACGGGACGACTTATACCCCTTTTCCACCAAAAACGAACTGGTTCGGAACTGGTGCTGGTTCAAAGTTGGTTCAACTTGCGAACCTTCTCAGAACCTGTTTGTTTTTCCACTGACTAGAGCGCCCAGCGAACGACGTCATTACGTCACTGTGTACGTCGCCTACATCTTAGCTAGAAACGCTTGCAAGTACAACATTACTTTGGGATTATCTCTAACTCATGAATCAAGAAGGCTTTAAAAACAATTGAAATATGTAAGTCTTTTAATCTTTTCCTTTGATATGTAATCTTTTCTGATTAGTTATGCATTCCTGTCTTGTGTCTTTTTTTTCTTTCCATTTATTTGTTCTATATTGTGACTGTTTTCTCCTTTGCTTACATAACGTTTTCAATAAAAAAATAAAAAAATAAACTAGAAACGCTTGCGCCAACTTCAAGCATAACAATTACAATGGCGGACTACATCGTGTTTCTGCAAATGTTTCTCCTGGCTTTGCGATCCTATATTATGTCAGAAAATATGTTATCTAAACCCGCCCCCAGCTCCCGAGGTAAGCATGACGTGGAAAAAGAACGGTTCTAGTCCAGCAAAGAGTTGGTGCTGCTTTGGAACCAGTTTTCCTGGCCGAGAACCGGTTCTTTGGCTGTCGAAACACAAAGAACTGGTTCGCGCGCAGGCACCGGCTCCGAACCGGCTCTCAAAATGCGTTGGTGGAAAAGGGGTATTAGTGCTCTCGTTTAACAGCACACACGGCAAAGAACCAGCCGTCATACACTCTCAGAAAAAAAGAGCAAAAATACAGTTAGCCACAGTTTATGTCCCTGTAAACCCTGACATATGAAATGATAGTAAAAAAGATCCTAAATGGAACATTTAAGGTTTGTTGAACCTTTAGACAAAATATATATATATAAACAAGTTTGCATATGTGTTTTAGGTTTTATATCATATTTGGTACACCAGGCTTTTATGGCTCAAATATTCTGATATCCTGAGAATATGGAGGGAAAACAGCTCAATTTTATTTATAGGCTCAAACTGAGCAAAAATATGCAATTTGGTGCACATGCTGATATTTATATAAACTTCTGATGCTTGTAATGTAAATCAATGAGATATTTATAACAGTACAGCAGATACTTAGATAAAATTCATATAAATATTGTTAGTCACTCTATATCCGCCAATATGTCTTAGTAAGATAATATTATAATGCTTAGTTTTATGATCAAAGCTCTGTAGTTTTAAAACATGTAATGCAATGCAATACAATGATGATTGAGAGACGAACAAATAAACATTTCTCCATTTTCTATAAAATGATGTATGGATAATCAAGTAAACCTCAATTGCTTCCGTCCAGTAAGTGTTCTTCTTGAAATATAACTAACAACAATATCAAAGTTATTTTTACATTTGCTTGATAAAAATTGATCAATATTTCACAGCAGAAAGACACCTGAACCACGAGCTGAAGGACGTTTGCACTATAATACCAAAAGGCATTTTACTTGCTAAAAAAGCCTAAACTTTCAATCAGAGGACAGAAGGACTGTAGTAGACTGTGTGCAAGAGGTCAACCAGCAAAGTTTTGATCATGTTGGTAATTTAGACGCCTTAGAAATTTGCATTTCAATTATAATGCAGTTATAAGAGGTCAACCAGCAAAGTTTTGATCATGTTGGTAATTTAGACGCCTTAGAAATTTGCATTTCAATTATAATGCAGTTATATAGACTGTGTGCAAGAGGTCAACCAGACTGTGTATAGACTGTGGTATTTTACTTGCTAAAAACTTGCCTGGTATTTTACTTGCTAAAAAAGCCTAAACTTTCAATCAGAGGACAGAAGGACTGTAGTAGACTGTGTGCAAGAGGTCAACCAGCAAAGTTTTGATCATGTTGGTAATTTAGACGCCTTAGAAATTTGCATTTCAATTATAATGCAGTTATATGGTTGAAGTGCTCCATTGAACTTTTAGGGTGAATAAAGTATAAACTTGTCGCTTTAAGGGTACTGCCCCAATGACAAGCTGACGTTTTTTGCCATCTTTTCTGACACAGTCCCAGAATGCTTTGATGTAGAGCTGATTCTCTCCACTGGTGTATGTTAATGACTAACCCAAGCGTAAGCCAGACTCATGACAGCGAGGTGAATCAATGAGGGACGTGATAAGAGAGGTGGATGAACTGGACCCGTGCGGGTCAAAGAACAGTCATGACACTCATCCACAACACAGGCCCTGTTTACTCCTGGTATTAAGATGCGTTTTGGTCGATCGGATCACATTCCCATTTACACCTGGTGTTTTAATCCTTTAGTTTCTCATCTTCAAACCAAACTTGGGTCTTCAGCCGACAAAGTATAAATCCCGTCTGGCTAGTGCGCTTCCCGTAATGTTTACGCATTAGGTCAGTCGGCAGAGAGTAGGCGTTTTGCAGGTCTTTTGTGGCTGTCATTTCTAGTAGAGCCCAAAGATCTTTGTTTGCAGGTCATTCGACCACATGAGTGATTACACTATGAAAGCAAGTCGAATGCATTTTCGACTACCTCTGGAAGTGGTGGAAAGTGGACAAGCTCAAAACGTTTTAGACCTGGTCCACACCTGGATTTAGCATCGTCTACTTTAGAGATGGGATTTATGGCTCTTTGAGGAGATCCGGATCTTTGCGATCCGTTCCTTTCAAAGAGCCGTTCAAAAGAACGGCTCTTTTGGCTCTTTTTAAATATTTAGTCAGTTTAAAGAAGCCAGCTTGGGGGCATCTCAGTTTATCCTGGAAATAATCACTGGGAGGAATGATGAGGTGAGATTTGTAGTCAATTAATTAAAACTCAGATATCACACACCAATATCTGAGTTTGAATTATTCTGAAATATTGATTATTACCTCATTTGTCATGTGTGGACTATATTCCATAGGGTTGCACAACATCCCTCTGCTTAGAAAGTGATATCACTATTTTGGATTTACCTTTAGTACAAAGTATGTGTATGTGTAAAGCTATGTTGACTTATGTTATTCATACAATACCACAAGAACATTTTGATAAAAAACAAAAACTATTTAAAGTTGTAAATATATACTGTAGATACAATAACATGAACACAAAATGCAATGTAAATAAATACAAAGCAGTTCCTGCTCTGCTCCTACCCAATGACAGCACGTAGGGTTTTTTCCCACTGGAGTACTCACGTAAAGGATGCGCGCGCGTGCACAACTATCATCATGCTGTTAGGCAGTAGCACCCCTGCGCTGGGTGCGCCCCTTCCCCTATAACTGAGGAGCTAATTTGTGTGCATCTGTGTGAAACACGCATGAAAAAAGAACGACAGAAAGAACGGCTCCCCTCCAGCCGCGACTCGGCTCCCATCGTTCATGTTTATGAGCCGTTCAAAAGAATCGGTTCGTTCGCGAACGTCACAACTCTAGTCTACTTGTGATCCGATCAACCAAAACGCATCTTAACACCAGCAGTAAACAGAGCCACAGTGTCAACAAGCCGAACCATTCATTCATTAGTTGTACTTACATCCATGCTACTCTTTTTAAAGCAATAAATAATAATGTGCAATTGGAATAGCATTTGTGCTGCCTTTGTGAGTTTATGTCAGCTCTCTGGAGCAATGAACCGTATTTTTAAGTCTTTAAAGGGGATCTATTATGCCCTTTTGCAAAGTCTATATTTTGATTTTTGGCTCTACTAGAATTGCCAGCAGCCATTTCACCCTGTAGCCCAAGACTGGTTGCCCACTGAAGCTAAGCAGGGCTGAGCCTGGTCAGTACCTGGATGGGAGACCTTCTGAGAAACCCAGGTTGCTGCTGGAAGAGGTGTTAGTGAGGCCAGCAGGGGGCGCTCACCCTGTGGTCTGTGTGGGTCCTAACGCCCCAGTGTAGTAATGGGGACACTATACTGTCAAAGAGCATCGTCCTTCGGATGAGACGTTAAACTGAGGCCCTGACTCTCTGTGGTCATTAAAAATCCCATGGCACTTCTCGTAAAGAGTAGGGGTGTAACCCCGGTGTCCTGGCCACATTTCACCCATTGGCCCCTGCCAATCATGGCCTCCTAATAATCCCCATCCACTGAATTGGCTCTATCACTCTCTCTCTTCTCCAACTATAGCTGGTGTGTGGTGAGTGCACTGGCCCCTTTGTACTGTGGCTGCCGTCGCATCATCCCAGTGGATGCTGGTTGAGGAGAGAACCCCCGATATGATTGTAAAGCGCTTTGGGTGTACAGTAATACATATGAAAGTGCTATATAAATGCCTCATTCATTCATTCAATAGTATGAGGAAAAATGGCTGTCCGAGTTACACGCCATCAACTATTTTGTCTGCAGGCGCCGTTTGTTTGTAGCACGTGGAAAAGAAGACGAAACCATAGCAAGCAGTAATTTTTTAGAAAGTCAATGTCTCTGTCTCCTCGTTTTATGACACCTGAGGACTCCTGGGTTTTTGCGTTGTCTGCTTGAGAGCTCACAGGTCAGGCTGGCAGAGAAATTTGAGAAAGGGATTTCGCTTTCTCAGTCTTATCTTATAGACTCTGCCGATCTTCTGGATCCGGAAGCCCGATCTATGGCATCTTCTGATCCAGCAGAGAGCATGTTGCTTACTCTAAAGGAGCTTGACGTGGTAGGAGGGGGTGAAGAGAGTGAGTTTGTTGAGCTCCGCCTTCTGTCAGCCCCGCAGATGAGGAATTGTTGAGTGCAATGGCCTGCGCCATGGCCAGGTTGAATTTGACCTGGTCACGTGAAAAACAAGATCTCACTTCCGGTAGACTGGATGAGTGATTTCTGGGGGGTTTTCCCACCCCCTACTTTTCTTCTGGATCTTCACAACGAGATGGAGAAGTCCTGGAAGAAGCCATATTCAGCATGCACTATTCCCTTTCAACATTAGAATTACGCAAATGTGAAAGGATTGCGTGAGTGAGGATATGTGATATGGCTAGCTATCTCTCGTAGAGTCAGGCACCCTCATTGAAGGCTCCGGCAAGGCGTATACGGGTCAAGCTAGTTAGGACGATTCCAAGGACCCACACACTTTTGGGGCCACCAGAGATTGATTTTATTAATGGAATAATCTCATATACCTCATATTCTTTCACAGGGCCCAACATTGCTAGCGGCGCCCCTGCAACCCGATTCCCTGAGAAGGAGAACAAGATGCTGCATTTTGTTGCCATGCCTTAGGCTTACCTGTGCGTCTCCTTCAGACGAAGAGTTGCTGAGTTGACCCTTGTGATGCCATGGACTGCCTTCTGCCAATGAATAACGGCGTGTTTCAGACACTGGTCAAGCTGAGGTTGTTTCCCATAGCGTCAACACCAAAACAGAGCGTCTCTTTCCCCTTCTCAGGGAACCCGGTTGCATACACAACCTGAGATGTTTTAATTCTTCAATTTTCAAAAAACACATAATTTTCCCCATATTCTCCATTGTAGCTAAGCTAGAGGAAAATTTAAGCAGTAATAACTTGGCTGTAGCTTGGGGTGGAATGAAAAAAATGACATGACAGCAAAAACCAGTAAATAAGTCATTTAACATTGCAGGTTATGATGGTAACAAAGACTTAGCTGATGCACTTAATACTTTTTATTTACGATTTGACACAGAGGACTTTGCAGATGAACTCAGGGAAATATGCAGTGAGTCTGCCCTCCCCACAAAGACTAATCTGATGTTTAATCCTCAGGATGTTAAGGCAGTTTTTCAACAAAAAAAAAGATAAATAAGAGCCCAGGACCGGATAGTATTACAGGGAGACTGCTCAAGAGCTGTTCAGAACAGCTTTGCGAGGTGTTCTATTTTATTTTTAAGATGTCCTTGGAGCAGCGGAGGGTCCCAAGGGTGTGGAAGGAGTCCATTGTTGTTCCGGTGGCAAAATGTGGAAAACCAAAAGAGCTAAATGACTTAAGACCAGTGGCATTGACATCACTGGCCATGAAGTCATTTGAAAGGTTAGTTAAAGGGGAATTGTTGGAAATGGTGGAGAGGGCACTGGACCCTATGCAATTTGCATATAGAGCTGGGATGGGAGTAGAGGATGCCCAAATCACATTACTCAACTTCCTGTACAGTCATCTAGAAAGTCCTGGTATGCATGCTGGATTTTTCATCCGCATTCAATACTATCCAGCCACATGTTTTAGCTAGGAAATTGCTAAATTATTTTAATCTTGATGTTAACCTTGTGGGCTGGATTGTAGATTGTTTAACGTGTAGGTCTCAGGGGGTTAGAGTAAATGGCTTTCTGTCAGATCAGCGCACCTCCTCTACGGGCTCTCCTCAGGGCTGTGTCCTGTCCCCTCTACTGTATATTCTCTACACCAATGACTGTAGAAGCCAGCACGTGGACAGGTACATCCTGAAATTTGCTGATGATACAGTTATCATCAGCTTGCTTAACAATACTGAATCCGAGCATGGGCCGGTGGTTGATGAGTTTGTTGAATGGTGCGATGAAGCCTTCCTCCAATTAAATACTACAAAGACTAAGGATATGATCATAGATTTTAGAAGGAAATCATCCAAATCACCGTCTCAGACCTTCATTAAAGGAACCGGTATTGAATTTGTAGAACAGTATAAATATCTAGGAACAATAATTGATAGTGACTTAAAATGTGATGCTAATTCTGATGCAATTTGTAAGAAGGGTCAGCAACGTCTGTATTTTCTCAGGAAGTTAAATGTTTTTAATGCTGACAAGACAATGATGTGTTTGTTTTAAAAGTCTTTTATTGAATCTGTTTTTACTTTTTCTATGATTGCATGGTATGGAAACCTGAACATTAGGGACAAAAATCACCTAAACAACATTGTGAAGGTGTCTGGTAAGGTTATAGGGATCGCACAGACTCCCCTGACTGCTATCTTTGAACAGCATGTTCTTCGTAAGTCCAGGTCTATACAAGACGAAAAAACCCATCCTCTACATTCTAAGTTTGAAATTCTTCCTTCAGGTCGCAGATTTAGAGTTCCACGATTCAAGTGCAATAGGAGCATAAATACTCATTTGTTCCCTGTGCAATAACCCTGCTAAATAGTCTCAGGTAACCTCATATTTAGAGATTGTTTTTATGTTTTTTATGTTTATTTATATTTATACTGTACTGTATGCACTGGTACATTTTATTTTATTTTTGGGCGGGTATCTTTTGTGTATGTGTGTTGTTATTCTGATCCCTGTATGTATGTATGTATTTTTATTTTTTTTTATCTTGTGCCCTGACTGCAAATCAAGTTTCCCACCTGGGATAATAATAATAAATGAAAATGAAATGAAAGCCCCTCCTTCTGAAAAGCACACTGTGCTCTGATTGGTCGGCTGGATCAGTGTGTTGTGATTGGTCGAGCGCTTCGAGTGTGTTTGGGGAAAGTCCCGCCCCTTTCCATAACCACCAGTTTCAACACACTACTAACTAACTCAACCAGGCCCCGCCCCTTTATTCTGCGCATGAATTATTATAATGAGGAATATTGTGACGTGTTCGTTCCCGGAAGAAACTCAAGACTAATGGAGGCGTTTCAGGAGTTCAGAAACACTGACACTCATATAGATAATTACTCCACTTGACTTGAGTGACTTTGTGCTTTGAAACTTTACACACTAAAGAACTAAAAAAGTATAATAAGACTCCTTTAAACTTGTCTTAGCTTGCACACAGCAGACATTAATATCAGGGCAGGAACATCTGGTGGCTGCAGTGCTGTCAGCTCACCTGTAGGTGGCGTATCAGCTCGTTCATCAGGGTTAACCATAGCCGACACATGAATCAGTGCAGGAACCAGACCTCCAGAAGCCCAGCAGATCCGCGTGGGTGATGTGCTCACTCTCTGATGTCTGGAGCCACAGTCAATCATTGACCAGTTATCAGACATCGCCACACACAAAGCCACGTTATGTAATGCCACATTCCTGCGCCTTCAGAAGACCAATGAGCGGCTGTCTTCAAGTGTCTGGCCCAGGCTCATGTGACTAACAGCGTTCGGTTACACCTACAACAATGAACAAAATGTGAACGCTAAAGTTATATTGAGCCAGAGGACGGTTGTATTACTCAGATGCTGCTCTTTAAAAACTCAGGAGACTTAATCCTTGAAGAAATAACAATCGACAGAAAGCAGATGACATCTACACTGCAGAAAATGATGTTCTTCCTCTGTTTTTTTGTCTTGTTTTCCAGTACAAACATTCTTAAATAAAGATACTGGAGAAGAAAAAAGTCAATTGGGTCAGAAAAATAAACTTAATTCAAAGGGTAAACAAGTGCATTTTTTTACTCCACTGGCACTTCATTTTGATACATTTTTCAAAACACAAAACCTCAAGATCTCAAGAAATTTGCTCCTCAAGTCTAAATTCAAGAAAGTTGAGATATGTGTACTGTAAAACAAGAAAAAAATACAAATCTTTTTATGCAGTGTATAGAGCTATAAATAAGTCTCATTCTCATTTGATGGAAAATGTTTGAGAAAGTGAGCGATTGTAGACACATCTGAGACTTGCACATGATCTCAGTGTTGAGACACGACTGAAACGATAAAGAGATCGAATTTGTGATTTTCTCCTTTTAAGGGAAGACATTTTAAAGTGTTATTTTTTTTTTTAAATATGTATTTTTAAAATGTGTTGTTATATTTGTTATATATATAATGTTGTTATACTTTTATTTTTTATATTTTCAATTTATTTTTTATTATATTATAAAAAACATTATTAGATTGTTTATTTTTAGTTAAAATTTGTACAATTTTAAAGTAATATTAACAAAAGACTAAGCATTTTGTTACATTGTACTTTTTGTTTCCTGTAGTTTCATCTTAGTCTTTACTGTGTTGCTGAAATGATGACAGTTTTTGTGAGATTGTTCGTTGTTGAATGATGTGACAATGAGAGCGTGTGTGTTTCTAAGCACATCATATTGATGGTTCAGTGCGTTTGTGTTTGTCTTGAATATCTCATTCGGCCGATCAGTGTGAGTGTGTGTGTGGAGGAATCTGCTGGTATTGTTGGAGTCCCTTCCCCCATCCTCGTGTGTGTGTGTGTGTGTGTGTGTGTGTGTGTGTGTGAGAGGCAGGGAGGCTCATGGGAACAGCAGTGGAGGGAGAACGAGAGCAGAGGGAGGATCCGTCTTTCTTTTCACTAACTCTGGATCTGAGTTGGGAAGAGACTAATGAGGAAGCAATGATCTGCTCGGATCGGGACTAAAGTTTGAGTCTTCAGCACAGATTTACAACTAAACTATGACAACGTGAAGGGAGATTCCTTTCCCTCTCATCTCACAAACACAAGACCAGCCAACACTCCAGCAAGCCAAGGTAAGCTCTCTCGCTCGCTCTCTCTCTCTGTTCTCATGAATCAGTCTTCACACTGCGTTCAGGGCTTTTATTGATTCTGATGACAGCTGTATTGAATGGCTCAGATCTGTGTGTGTGTGTGTGTGTTCTCTTCCAGAGCTTCAAGCGTTTCTCACTTGCGTCTCATTCAAGTATCAGAGGGGTTTCCCCCCTAAAATCTCAAGACACAAATGAGTCAGTCGTGTCCCTGCTAACCAAATATATGGTCTAAGAACATGATAAAAATTGTTATTTCTGAATGTTTTAAACATGTGTTTTCTAGGTTATGTGAGCATTAAGGGAACATTCCATTCCATTATTCTGCAAATGTTATGAGACATTACTTTCAAATGTTCTGAAACAACTAGAAACATTTAAAAAACATTAAACGAATGTCCATCTAAACCGTTTCAGACAAAGCACTCCATGGATGATGTATCAATAATGTTTTGGTTCTAACGTTTTAAAAACATTATTAAAGGTCAGATAACTTTGAACAAATGTTCTATAAGTTTTCAGGAAGAGCGTTTGTTCATAACTCTGAGAGAACTTTGAGACAGTGTTATCTGAAGTCCTGTTAGCTGATGGTCCAGATAGAGTTCTGATAGAGTCCTGATAGAGTTCTGATTGAGTTCTGATAGAGTTCTGCTTGAGTCCTGATAGAGTTCTGATTGAGTTCTGATAGAGTTCTGCTTGAGTCCTGATAGAGTTCTGATTGAGTCCTGATAGAGTTCTGCTAGAGCTCTGCTAGAGTTCTAATAGAGTCCTGATAGAGTTCTGCTAGAGTTCTCCTAGAGTTCTAATAGAGTCCTGATAGTGTTCTGACAGAGTTCTGATAGAGTTCTGATATAGTTCTAGTGGATTTCTAATAGAGTTCTGCTAGAGTTCTGCTAGAGTTCTGGTGGAGTTTTAATAGAGTTCTGCTAGAGTTCTAATAGAGTTCTAATAGAGTTCTAATAGAGTCCTGCTAGAGTTTGGCTGCAGTTCTGCTAGAGTTCTGGTGGAGTTCTAATAGAGTTCTGCTAGAGTTCTGGTGGAGTTCTAATAGAGTTCTGCTAGAGTTCTGCTAGAGTTCTGCTGTAGTTCTGCTAGAGTTCTAATAGAGTTCTAATAGAGTCCTGCTAGAGTTTGGCTGGAGTTCTGCTAGAGTTCTAATAGAGTCCTGATAGAGTTCTGCTAGAGTTCTCCTAGAGTTCTAATAGAGTCCTGAAAGTGTTCTGCTAGAGTTCTAATAGAGTCCTGATAGAGTTCTGCTAGAGTTCTAATAGAGTCCTGATAGTGTTCTGACAGAGTTCTGATAGAGTTCTGATATAGTTCTAGTGGATTTCTAATAGAGTTCTGCTAGAGTTCTGGTGGAGTTTTAATAGAGTTCTGCTAGAGTTCTAATAGAGTTCTAATAGAGTCCTGCTAGAGTTTGGCTGCAGTTCTGCTAGAGTTCTGGTGGAGTTCTAATAGAGTTCTGCTAGAGTTCTGCTAGAGTTCTGCTAGAGTTCTGGTGGAGTTCTAATAGAGTTCTGCTAGAGTTCTGGTGGAGTTCTAATAGAGTCCTGATAGAGTTCTAATGGTTCTGCTAGAGTTCTAATAGAGTCCTGATAGTGTTCTGACAGAGTTCTGATAGAGTTCTGAAAGAGTTCTAATAGAGTTCTGCTAGAGTTCTAATAGAGTCCTGATAGAGTTCTAATAGAGTTCTGCTAGAGTTCTGATAGAGTTCTAATAGAGTTCTGCTAGAGTTCTAATAGAGTCCTGATAGAGTTCTAATAGAGTTCTAATAGAGTTCTGCTAGAGTTCTAATAGTGTTCTGCTAGAGTTCTGATAGAGTTCTAATAGAGTCCTGATAGAGTTCTAATAGAGTTCTGCTAGAGTTCTAATAGAGCCCTGATAGAGTTCTAATGGTTCTGATAGAGTTCTAATAGAGTCCTGATAGTGTTCTGACAGAGTTCTGATAGAGTTCTGATAGAGTTCTGATAGAGTTCTGGTTGAGTTCTAATAGAGTTCTGCTAGAGTTCTGCTAGAGTTCTAATAGAGTCGTGATAGAGTTCTAATCGAGTCCTGATAGTGTTCTGACAGAGTTCTGATAGAGTTCTGCTAGAGTTCTGATAGAGTTCTAATAGAGTTCTGCTAGAGTTCTAATAGAGTCCTGATAGAGTTCTAATAGAGTTCTGCTAGAGTTCTGATAGAGTTCTGCTAGAGTTCTGCTAGAGTTCTAATAGAGTCCTGATAGAGTTCTGCTAGAGTTCTGATCAGAGATCTTGGTGAATCTGAGCACAGTTGTGTGTTTGGAGTCTCTGTAGGAGTCAAGCTTCTGTTTCTCCGAGTAACATCTGAGACATGAGCAGAAGTGTGTGTTTGCGCTCACTGACTCTCACTGCCGGACGAATCATGGAGGCTCGGTGTGTGTGTGTGTGTGTGTGTGTGGTGTGGTGTGTCTGTGTGAAGCGTCTGCTGTCCTCAGGGTTGGGCATTTAATGACAAGTGCTGCGAGAAGCTTTACTCGAGGAATGTTCAGTGCGTCTCCACCCATCCACACACACACACACACACACCCTTCACTGCCATCACAGCCACTTTCATTGATAAATCTCACTGGAAATCCTCAGTTTGACCCAAGATGAACACTCTGTCGAGTGTTAAATCACAGTCCCTTGCAGACACACACACACACACACACACATAAAGAGAAACACATGTACAGCGGGACGGAGAGGAGCTTCAGACGGATGAACTGCAGCGGATGAGACAGAGAGTCTGAACAGTGGATTCATGTTCACACACACAACAGTCCGAACACGTCCTCACCTGAGCTCCATCACTGATCCTCTACAGCATGAGCCTGATTAATACATCATCCAGTGAACGAGGCTGTGTGTGTGTGTGTGTGTGTGTGTGTGTGTGTGTGTGTGTGTGTGTGTGTGTGTGTGTGTGTGTTCAGCTCCACATCTCTGTATCTGCTTCAGCTCATGAGCCTCATACACTCAAACTCATCCAATGCTTTAGTGCTCTATCATATTAAAAAATCATTCAGTTCTAATTCTACAGTTATTCTACAAATACTCGCAGTTATTTCTCTAGTTCAGTGTCTGTCCCTGACACGAGAAATGGACTGATCCACACTGGTCAACACTGATAATAATCATAAATGTGTCTTGAGCATCAGATCCTCATATTAGAGTGATTCCTGAAGGATCATGTGACACTGAAGACTGGAGTAATGATGCTGAAAATTCAGCTTTGATCTCAGGAATAAATTACACTTTACTGTATATTCACATAGAAAACAGATGATTTACATTATAATAATATTTCACTGTTTTACTGTAGTTTTGATCAAATAAATGCAGCTTTTCGGAGCAGAAGAGACTCTTTCAGAAACATTAAAAATCTTACTGACCCCAAACTGTTGACCGGTAGTGTGTGTTCAGGTGTCTGTCAGAGGCACAGATGTAAACGCAGTGTGAGTGTGTGTGTGTGTGTGTGTGTGTTCACCTGTTCTCTCAGCTGTTTCAGGTGTGTATTCAGTAGGACAGCAGGATTGAGAGCTGTCAATCACAGCATCTAACGCAGGTTGTAAACGCAGTGTGTGTGTGTGTGTGTGTGTGTGTGTGTGTGTGTGTGTGTGTGATCTTGCCATCTGCTTCTCTGCTGTTTCTTATGATGTAAATCCTGTCTGCTGCATCAAGGTTTGTTTCCTATTTCTTCTACCATGGCCTTCTTGGAAGTCCCGGCTTACAAAATTACATTCTGCCAACGTTTTTCCAACTATTTTATTAACATTATTGTGTTCTCTGAACATTCAAAATGTCCAGTTTTTTAAATGTTTTAAAAGTGTTTCTTCTTGATTATATGATTGTTAAGGGAACATCCCATTGTATCATTCTTCATACATTATCGGAACATTACATTTGTATGATCTATGAAACAAGTAGCATAATTTAAAAACCGTTAGATGAACGTCCGACTAAAATATTTCAGGACAAAATGTTCCATGAACAATGTAAGTAATAGTTTTGAGAACATTATTAAAGATCAGAAATGTTTGAATAAACATTGTATTAACGTTACGTTAGTTGATAACTGTGAGAGAGCATTCCCCGTTCCCCGTTCCTGTTCCCCATTACATGTTCCCCCTTCCCCTTTCCCCTTCCCCTTTCCCCTTCCCCCTTCCCCCTTCCCCTTCCCCTTTCCCCTTTCCCCTTTCCCCTTTCCCCTTCCCCTTTCCCCTTTCCCCTTTCCCCTTCCCCTTTCCCTTTCCCTTTCCCCTTCCCCCTTCCCCTTTCCCCGTTCCCCGTTCCCCTTTCCCCGTTCCCCTTTCTCTGTTCCCCATTACATGTTCCCCCTTCCCCTTTCCCCTTCCCCTTTCCCTTTCCCCCTTCCCCTTTCCCCGTTCCCCTTTCCCCGTTCCCCGTTCCTGTTCCCCATTACATGTTCCCCCTTCCCCTTTCCCCTTTCCCCGTTCTCTGTTCCCCCTTCCCCGTTCCCCGTTCCTGTTCCCCATTACATGTTCCCCCTTCCCCTTTCCCCTTTCCCCTTCCCCCTTCCCCTTCCCCTTTCCCCGTTCCCCTTTCTCTGTTCCCCGTTCCCTGTTCCCCCTTCCCCTTTCCCCGTTCCCCTTTCTCTGTTCCCCGTTCCCTGTTCCCCCTTCCCCTTTCCCCGTTCCCCGTTCCCCTTTCCCCGTTCCCCCTTCCCCTTTCTCCTTCCCCCTTCCCCTTTCCCCGTTCCCCGTTCCCCTTTCCCCGTTCCCCGTTCCCCTTTCTCTGTTCCCCGTTCCCCTTTCTCTGTTCCCCGTTCCCTGTTCCCCCTTCCCCTTTCCCCGTTCCCCGTTCCCCTTTCCCCGTTCCCCGTTCCCCTTTCCCCGTTCCCCCTTCCCCGTTCTCTGTTCCCCCTTCCCCTTTCCCCGTTCCCCATTCCCCGTTCCCCATTCCCCTTTCCCCGTTCCCCTTTCTCTGTTCCCCGTTCCCTGTTCCCCCTTCCCCTTTCCCCGTTCCCCATTCCCCTTTCCCCGTTCCCCTTTCTCTGTTCCCCCTTCCCCGTTCCCCATTCCCCTTTCCCCGTTCCCCTTTCTCTGTTCCCCGTTCCCTGTTCCCCCTTCCCCTTTCCCCGTTCCCCATTCCCCTTTCCCCGTTCCCCGTTCTCTGTTCCCCCTTCCCCTTTCCCCTTTCCCCGTTCCCCATTCCCCTTTCCCCGTTCCCCATTCCCCGTTCCCCTTTCTCTGTTCCCCGTTCCCTGTTCCCCCTTCCCCTTTCCCCGTTCCCCGTTCCCCGTTCCCCTTTCCCCGTTCCCCCTTCCCCTTTCCCCTTCCCCTTCCCCTTCCCCTTTCCCCTTCCCCCTTCCCCTTTCCCCGTTCCCCGTTCCCCTTTCTCTGTTCCCCGTTCCCCTTTCTCTGTTCCCCGTTCCCTGTTCCCCCTTCCCCTTTCCCCGTTCCCCGTTCCCCTTTCCCCGTTCCCCGTTCCCCTTTCCCCGTTCCCCATTCCCCGTTCTCTGTTCCCCGTTCACTGTTCCCCCTTCCCCGTTCTGTTCCCCCTTCCCCGTTCTGTTCCCCTTTCCCCGTTCTGTTCCCCCTTCCCCTTTCCCCGTTCTCTGTTCCCCATTCCCCGTTCTCTGTTCCCCTTCCCCGTTCCCCTTTCCCCGTTCTCTGTTCCCTGTTCCCCTTCCCCTTTCCCCGTTCTCTGTTCCCCGTTCCCCTTTCCCTGTTCTCTGTTCCCCGTTACCTGTTCCCCTTTCTCTGTTCCCCGTTACCTGTTCCCTGTTCTCTGTTCCCCGTTCTCTGTTCCCCGTTCCCCTTTCCCTGTTCTCTGTTCCCCGTTACCTATTCCCTGTTCTCTGTTCCCCGTTCCCTATTCCCTGTTCTCTGTTCCCCTTTCCCCGTTCCTGTTCCCTGTTCCCTGTTCCCTGTTCCCCCTTCCCCTTTCCCCGTTCTCTGTTCCCCATTCCCCTTTCCCCGTTCTCTGTTCCCCGTTCCCCTTTCCCCGTTCTCTGTTCCCCATTCCCCTTTCCCCGTTCTCTGTTCCCCGTTCCCCTTTCCCCGTTCTCTGTTCCCCATTCCCCTTTCCCCGTTCTCTGTTCCCCGTTCCCCTTTCCCCGTTCTCTGTTCCCCGTTCCCTATTCCCCGTTCTCTGTTCCCCGTTACCTGTTCCCCGTTCTCTGTTCTCTGTTCCCCGTTCTCTGTTCCCCTTTCCCCGTTCCTGTTCCCCCTTCCCCTTTCCCCGTTCTCTGTTCCCCGTTCCCTATTCCCCGTTCTCTGTTCCCCGTTACCTGTTCCCCGTTCTCTGTTCCCCGTTCTCTGTTCCTGTTCCCCCTTCCCCTTTCTCCGTTCTCTGTTCCCTGTTCCCCTTCCCTGTTCCCCGTTCCCTGTTCCCCATTCTCTGTTCCCCATTCGCTGTTTCCCGTTCCCTGATCCCCTTTCTCTGTTCCCAGTTCCCCGTTTCCCTTTCCTCGCTCTCTGTTCCCCTTTCTCTGTTCCCCTTTCCCTTTTCCCCGTTCTCTGTTCCCTTCCTCTGTTCTCTGTTCCCTGTTCTCCACGGTGTTGACTGCAGTCTGTGGGTGTGACTCTTGTTGGCTCAGTCGTGTGTGTGTGTGTGTGTGTGTGTTCCTGTGTGTTTCTTCTAGCTGAAGGCTACAGAAACCTGATCCGACAGCAGCTTGTTTCCACAGGCCCGGATCTCACACACGTGGTCTGGTGTTTCTGTGCCTGCAGGAGGTGAAGCTCCTCACACACACCTTCACCCAGGCATGTGTGTTAGACCTGCGGAGGCACGTCACTGAACACACACCGCTGCTGTTCAACCTCAGATCAGGCCTTCCTCTCAATGAAACAACACAGTCAATGTGATTTCATCTGCTTCAGACACAAACCCTGATCTCGGGCTTTCAGACCGAATCGCTCAGCTTTAGTCTCGTCAAGGCACAACTGTTCTCATGGCAAAGTTCCTCTTCATTCTTTGCTTAGGGTTACAAAGGAGTAAGAAATACTCTTGCACTGTGATTTACTGTTAGCCAACATCGTCCACGTTTAGATGAATATGATAATATGTGCTGCAAAATAAACACAACAGAAATGACAGTGGTGGGAGAACAGCAGCTCAGAAAGTATCAGATCAGAGATGTAGATATGTTTGACTTTGTGCATGTCTCGTCACATTTATTCATACAGCACTTTATACAATAGATTGATCTAAAGCAGCAACTTTACAGTATTAAACATGATAAAAGTTAGAATCACAGCTTCAGTTACTTCTGTAAAGCGGCTCTCAGTGTTCATGTTCTTACTTGCGTCTGACCTCGAGAAATAAACCAGAGAAGATTTACACCTCAAAGAAGGCAGAGCCTCAGAGCCACTCCCACCTATTACATCATCGCCACATGAACCAACGGGAGATCGAAGGTGTTTAGTGACGCACAACAACTTTTTGGGAAGCTTCACTTTGACAAGCTGTTTCAAACTCCAAACGAACTTTGTTTTAGTCTGACTTTGTTCGAAATGACATCACAGCAGTTCATTCTTTGATTTCACTTGACGTATATCAGAGTCTTCAGACTCTAAATGTTCTGTCGAAGGCTTTCAGCTCTTGCGGTTTTCACACGATCCAGCTCTAAATAAGCCGAATCAGCGCTATAGGTGTCTGTCCACTCATACCTGGTTTTCTCGTGCCTTATATTTATTTAGAATTTTCACACCATTCCCGGTGATAGTGATTTACTCACCCTCATGCCGTCCAAACCCATTAGACTTTCTATCCTCAGAACACAAATGAAAATCTTTTTGATAAAATCTGAGAGATTCCGGTCCTTTACATGCAATTTCCGCATGACACATGGCCATGGTTCAGTGTCAGCTATCAGAGTCCCTCTGAACCCCTCCACCTCCCCAGCTCCACCTGTCGAGATCTGATACACGACTGATGTGTGTCTGTTGCAGCAGCAGATCTTACAGGCTCACAGCAGCGTGTGTGTGTGTGTGTGTGTGTGTGTGTGTATCAGCAGCAGCAGCAGCAGCAGTGTATCGGATCTAGTCCAACAAGACTGACACATTAACATTGCCGTATTTGAGCCAGAATGAGGTGCTGTCAGATCTGATTTAATCACATTACAAATACAAAATGCACATTTTATTTGCAAGGCGCAGTTAATGGTCCAGTGTTCATGGGTGTGCGATATATATACCGTCTGCGATAATATTGTAACTGTTGTTTTAACGATGTGTAATCTGACATTATCGAGTATATCCCTCACACACACTCAGACAGCGCACGCATACACTATGTGTAGTCTAGTAGATTCGACTATTGAAGTCTAGTAGGTGGTCTATTGAAATGCTAAAATGTCCCCAAAATTCATGATCAGGCTGCAAAAATGCCACTGTATGTGTTTTATATTTATATCATATAATGTAAGTTAATCAATATCACACGAAGAGTGCCGTTTTTCTCCAGATATCAGCATGAAAACAAATGTGATATTGATTTTTTACAAGTTCAGCCAACAGAAGAAGCCACAGGACTGCAATTGCGTCTCTAGAACGCAAGTCGGTGTTTAATTTCTGAATGAATCATCTTTTGAAACGAATCAGTTGAATGAATGATTTAATGACTCATTCATTAAGAGAGTCAAATGCTTCGTTCCAGAATGAATCAGCCGTTTGAATGAATCGGTTGAATCTCAATGACTCACTCATTAACAGGGACTTGCTGCCACCTACTGGCGGTTTTCATTTCACATGTTTAATCATCAAAACGTTATGCATTTGTAATTGCAGGTTATATGTCCCTCTGATCTGCATTAAACTGTAAATGCATGTAAATCCACTTCAGATGCAGCTTCTGTTTCCTCTGCATGTTGTTACAGATTTAATTTGATTGGTATGTATTTAAGTTATTTATTATAATTTATTGATTAAATGTAAGAAGATTATGCATACATATAATTAGGTTAGAAAAAAATCCCTATAATATACTGTCCAATTATCGTTATTGATAAAATCCCAGAAAGTATTAAGATATAATTTGTCAATATCGCACACCCTAGGCTTGTTACATTTGAATGACCTCTTGACCCGAACACATGCGCCACACACACACACACACACACACACACACACGTTTACTCAGCTATCTAAATGAGGACATTCCACAGGCTTCTATTGTTTTTATATACAGCGTGTAAAACTAACCAACACACAAACCCTCACAGAAAACTCCAGATGTCAGTCTTTAAAGCCAGTTTTATTCATATCTACATTCTGAAAGTTTGTTCATATATCATTCACCTTAGTTATATTTACTCCTGAGAGCATGGTGAAAATATATTTGTTTTATTCTCTGATTTATGTTGTGATAAAAAGAGAAATCCCCCTCCAAAAAAAAAAAAACATCTGGAAAAACTTGTAACTCTGTAATGTCAACAAAATCAAACATGAATTATGAACCTGGATTTATCCAGTGTTCAGATTTCAGTTCTGGAAATGTATGAAAATGTCTCGGTTACGTATGTAACCCTAGTTCCCTGATAGGGAACGAGACGCTGCGTCAAACGCTGCGGGAACGCCCCTGCGTTGTGCGTCATGAAGCACGTATGGAATCAGCCCAATGGAGAGATGAAACGTCATAGGCGGGTGACGTCATCGACCAGGAAACTATAAAGCACCCCAAAAACACAAGCGCATTAGCTTCTGATAGGCTTGAAGGAAGCGCTAACGGGAGTGCCGGGAGTATGGCGGAGCGACGCAGCGTCTCGTTCCCTATCAGGGAACTAGGGTTACATACGTAACCGAGACGTTCCCTTTCAAGGGAACTTCGAGCTGCGTCAAACGCTGCGGGAACGCGAATACCCACGTCGCCATAGGACCAAATGACCGTCATGTGAGACTAGCGCACAGAGGACGAGAGCACCTGTGCCCCAGGGGTAGAGCTTAAGTCTAGGTCATAGAACTTAATAAAAGTATGCGGTGAAGACCATCCAGCCGCATCACAAACATCACTCAGGGAAACCCCCGACAAAAGAGCTTTAGAAGCAGCCATACTCCTGGTAGAGTGAGCTCGGACAACCAAAGGTGAAGGCTGGCCAGCCGACTCATAAGCAAGTGAGATAGCCTCAACCACCCACTTGCTCATTCTCTGTTTAGACGCAGGACACCCTTTCCTGGGTGGCCCGAAACATACAAAAAGTTGTTCTGATTTCCTCCACAGGGCAGCTCTGTGGACATAAGCGTCTAATGCCCTAACAGGGCAGAGTGAATTAAGTTTCTCCTGGTCCGATGACATAAATGGAGGAGGACAGAAAGCCTGCAGAACCGTAGGTCTAACAATATTAGTAGGAACCTTAGGAACGTAACCTGGTCTAGGATGCAGAAAAGCTTTAACCATGCCAGGTGCAAATTCCAGGCACGAGGGTGAAACCGACAGAGCCTGCAAATCTCCGATTCTTTTTAGTGAAGAGATAGCAAGCAAAAAGATAGTCTTAAAAGTGAGAAACTTCTCGGGAACTTCTTCGATAGGTTCAAAAGGAGCTAGGGAAAGACCTTCTAATACAATGGCCAGATCCCAAGTCGGCACCCTCGTACGAACTGCTGGCCTCAGCCTCAAAGTGCCACGGAGGAAACGAGTTATAAGCGGGTGTCTCCCAAGAGAAACTCCACTGAAAGGGACGTGGTAAGCAGCTAGTGCCGCCACATACACCTTTAGTGTGGAGGGGGATAACCCTGTGGAGAAGCGCTCCTGCAGGAATTCCAGCACTGCACCCACTGGGCAGTTAACTGGGTCCTGCAGGTGTTCTCCACACCAAGAAGTGAAAAGTTTCCACTTCAAGGCATAAAGCTTCCTCGTGGATGGAGCTCTGGAGTTAAGAATGGTCTCAACAACCTCGGTTGAGAGACCGGAGTCTATGAGCTGGGCCCCCTCAGAGGCCAAGCCCACAGTTTCCACAATTCTGGGCGGGGGTGAAGTATCGTGCCCCCCGCCTGGGAGAGTAGATCCCTCCTGACCGGGAGCTCCAAAGGAGAACCGTCCAGGAGAGAAATCAGGTCCGCAAACCATACTCGGGCCGGCCAGAACGGGGCTACTAGTAGTAGACTGACCCCGTCCCGGCGGACCCTCTCCAGAACTCCTGGTAACAGAGCAATCGGGGGAAAGGCGTACAGACGTGACCTCGGCCACGGCTGCACCATAGCATCCAACCCCAGGGGGGCTGGAAGAGTGATGGAGAACCACCGATGACAATGAGTGGTCTCCTTGGAAGCGAATAGGTCCACCTCGGCGCGACCGAAACTCAACCAAAGGAGCTCCACCACCTCGGGGTGGAGTCTCCATTCCCCTGGCCTCGGCCCCTGCCTCGACAGGGAGTCTGCTACCACATTCAAATACCCAGGGAGATACATTGCTCTCAGAGATAGTAGCTTCCCTTGGGACCACAGGAGGATCTGACGGGCCAACTTGTAAAGCCGGCGAGACCGCAGGCCCCCCTGATGATTTATATAAGAGACCACCGACGTGTTGTCTGATTGAACTAACACATGATGGCCTCTCAGGTCTGTTAGGAAGTGTTTCAGAGCCTGAAACACAGCCAACATCTCTAGACAATTTATGTGCCACGAAAGATGATGATCCTGCCACAGACCTTGGGCTGGGCGACCACTCATGACCGCCCCCCACCCTGTGAGGGAAGCATCCGTCGTTAGCGTTATGCGACGACAAAGAGCCCCCAGCACAGGACCTTTGGATAGGAACCAAGTTTCTCTCCACATGACCAGAGCACGAAGGCAGCGCCGCGTGACTTTGAACGTGCGGAGCGGATTTCCCCTCGGGGAGAATCCCTTGGTCCTGAGCCACCACTGTAGCGGTCTCATGTACAACAGGCCGCAAGGTATAACGTTGGACGCTGCTGCCATCAGACCCAACAGTCTCTGAAACTGCTTGACAGTGAGTAGCTGGCCTAGCTTCACTTGTTTCACAGCTGAGAGAATCGATGCGATGCGGGTCGGAGAGAGTCGCGCCCGCATCGATACCGAATCCCAAACGACACCCAGAAAAGTGGTCTTCTGGGAAGGAGATAATACACTTTTCTTTGCGTTCAGCCTCAACCCCAACTTTCTGATATGAGCGAGGACGACATCTCGATGCCGAACCGCCATCTGCTCGGTCTGAGCTAAAATCAACCAATCGTCGATGTAATTGAGAATCCGAATGCCCTGAAGCCTCAGAGGCACTAGTGCTGCATCCATGCATTTCGTGAAAGTGCGGGGAGATAAAGCTAGGCCAAACGGAAGAACCCTGTACTGGTACGCCTCGCCCCCGAAGGCGAACCTCAGGAACTTCCTGTGTTGTGGAAGGATGGACACATGGAAGTATGCGTCCTTCAGATCTATCGTGACAAACCAGTCCTCGGACCTGATTTGAGACACGATCTGCTTGATAGTGAGCATCTTGAATTTTAGCTTCCCTACCGAGCGATTCAATATGCGCAGGTCTAAAATTGGACGCAACCCCCCATCCTTCTTTGGAACGATGAAATATCGGCTGTAATAACCTGACTCCAAACTGGGAGGAGGAACCCGTTCTATAGCCTCTTTTTGAAGGAGCGTTTTCACCTCTTGTTCCAATACCAGAGCCTGCTCGGGGCCCACCACTGTGTGCAGAACCCCTCTGAATTTTGGTGGACGACACCTGAACTGGATAGCATAACCCTTTTCTACTGTCTGCAGGACCCAATGAGATATTTTTGGAAGGCTTTTCCACTCTGCCAGAAATTCTACTAAGGGTACCAGCCTCTCGAGACTGGCCTCTGGTGTAACTTGAGCAGCAGACGCAGCGCCCTGTAACGGCGCACCGGCAGGGAACAACTGGTCTGACCGCTCTGAGACCCTCCTCAGAGGGAGCGAGCGTCCCTCGGGAAAGCGCTCGCTGGGATCGTCTGTGCCCCGGCATAAAGGCGGGGTTGGCAGAACGAGCCCCTGAGGGCACCGAGGAGGAATGGGCACCGTAAAAAGAGGTGAACACCTTTCCGCCTCGGTGGGGACCACCCTCAGCATCCTGAACGGCTTGGCGTCAGGACTTCTTCTTAGCCGAAGCCTTCTTAGCCAATATAACTGTCCTCAGATCAGTTCTACTGGGAGAAGGCTTCGGCTGAGAGTGTCGCGGCTGAGCCCACTGTCCAGCAGGGGGAGCACGAGACGCGACACTCTGCCTCTGCTGCGCTCTATGTGATGAGCTCGTAGACGGCCGGGGCTGCTCCCGCCCAGCAGCCCCAGGGACATGAACTTTAAGGGGAAGAAACTTTTTAAAAGCTGCAGTTTGTTTCTTTTCTTCTTGGAATTTATCGATAACTGAATTCACAGCATCACCAAACAACCCCATGGGAGAAAGAGGAGCATCTAAAAGAAAAGCTTTTTCTCTCTCTTTAATATTAGTCTGATTTAACCACAAATGTCTTTCTGCGGCCACCAGAGCTGCCATAGAACGACCCATTAATTTGGCCGATTCTCTGGTGGCACGCAGGGATAAATCAGCAGCCTGACGCAGTTCGCGAACTACGTCAGTACTGACCTCCTCACTCTCACTCATGTCCCTTAGCAGATCAGCCTGGTATGCCTGCAAGATTGACATAGTATGCAGACATGACGCAGCCTGACCTGCTGCCGAATATGCTTTACCCACCAAAGCCGAAGTGTTTCTTAAAGGCTTGGTGGGTAATGCCGGTGCCTTAAAAGATGATGCTGCTTCGGGGGAGAGATGGCTCGCAAGCGTCTCTTCCACACGAGGCAAAGCACCATAACCATGAGCCTTGGCTCCCATAATATTAGCGTATGTAGAAGTCTGGGGACTAAACACTCTATATGACACCGGTTTTCTCCATGATTTCGACACCTCGGTGTGGAGATCATGGAAAAACGGCAGGCACCGGCGTGGAGGCTGCACACGTGACGGCAAAAATCTCTCATCCAACTTTGATTTAGAAACAGACTCCTGTCTAGTCACTGGCCATTCAATATTAAGTTTTTCAACAGCTCTTGTTAACACCTCCATAAGCTCATCACTCTCAGGAGTGTGGGGTGGCGAATCCTCCACATCTCCCTCAACACTAACAACATCAAGTTCCTCAGAACTGGATAGCTGCAGCATTGGTGCCTCAGCCCGAGCGGAAGAAACCGCAGCGCGTGCTTCCGAACCCGGGACTGAGGCACTGGATCTCACAGGTGAAGGGAGAGATAAGGCAGAGCCCGTCTCAAACCCCGCTGTGAGATCCATCTGCGATCCCCACGATAAGCGCCGCCGCTCTGCCTCGGCAGAAGCGGGACCCGAACCGCGGGGAGCGCGCACCGAACCGCTCTCCTCAAAGAGCGATCGGCGGGAGCGGAGCGTCCTTAACGGCAAACGCTCGCAATGCTCACAGTCTGCTCCCTCGAGAGCAAACTGGGCATGCTGAACTCCCAAACAAACAACACAAAGATCATGTGTATCCCCGCTCGTTAAATAACGCGAGCAGGGAGGAACACACTTTCTAAACTGCTGTTCGTCCGCCATAATCTCTCAATATATATATATAGGGATAAATTGTTTGTGTGGTTCAGGGTATGTAAGACAGACAATATCACACAGGGACAGATTCACATGTAGCGCGACTGAAAGCACAGAAGCTAATGCGCTTGTGTTTTTGGGGTGCTTTATAGTTTCCTGGTCGATGACGTCACCCGCCTATGACGTTTCATCTCTCCATTGGGCTGATTCCATACGTGCTTCATGACGCACAACGCAGGGGCGTTCCCGCAGCGTTTGACGCAGCTCGAAGTTCCCTTGAAAGGGAATCATATTTAATTGGATAAATAATTTGCATATTCAAACCTAACATTTCTGAAACTTGTAATACAATACAAATGTCTTAATGTAGTGTGATTAATCAGTGAGATCGGGTAGGTAAAATCTCAAGCCTAAGAATAATAAACCCTGAAAATGTGATCATAACTCTAATGCTCAATTTACATGATTTTTTCTGTAAAACTACAAATTTAATTGAATGCAGGAAGATATTGAGTTTTGGGGAGAATATTGTCACCATGGCATCTCATGTCTAAATGCTATGCTAATTCTGAAAGTAATCAAGGACAGGGTTAAGAGATTCGCGAATGAATCGGTTCTTTTCTGTTTTCTTTCTTTTCAAACAGGTTTGCAGAAAGATGTGAAACCGTTCGTGATTCAATCTGATTCATTCGGACAGTTCACTCACGCACTGAATCATTTACAGCGATATTTCAAGCCGAAATAGTATCGGGATACTTTATAAGAAAGTAAAGTATATTCAGTGTAAAACAGGGAGATGTCAGCTATAGTGTGTGAAGGTGTGTGAGCGAGTCTGGACTGCAGGTCGAGAGTGTCGAACACACACCAGTTCAGGGAAGCTAGATAGACGTTAGCATGCTCCTGGTCTTGTTCTGGTGGTACATTAATAGATGAATGATTGGGAATATATTAGTACCATAGTTTTACCCTCAAATATCTGTCTAAAGCCCTTGTGAAGAAGAACTGCACTTTAGCACACTTTTAAAAAGAGGATAGCCTACTTATTATGGAAATATGAATGTAATGCTTTTGGACACTTAATTGCATGTTAAATTAACTTTTACATCTCAAATGTAATTTCATAATTACTACTGACAAGCATTTATGGTATATATGTATATATGATTTAATGTCATTTATATTGAAACTTGTGTGTCATGTATTTAAATACATTTGTAATGATAAAGTACTTTTAAAATACATTGACTTTAAATGTAATATCAAATAACACAGTACAGTTAAAATTATAATCAAGTAATTTACATGTGGTTTAGTATGTTAGTCAGTAAGTTAGTCTAAACCACCCCAATCAAGTTATACATAAACAAAAACAAAGCGAAAAGTACACTTATCTTCGTTAGATTACCGGTATTGAACAAAATACTGTTCTGTCATTTTTTTTTTTATAAAAAAAAAAAAAAAATCGCTTTGTTTTTGTTTATAATGTATAACTTGATTGGAGTGGTGCACAACTTGGTAAAGTTTTTGCCATTTTCTTTGTGAATACAAAAGAAACTCGTGTAAATGTTTCTAAAAGCTGTAATGGTCCTGAAAACAGCAGTCGCTCTTGTGGTGTTCGCGGTCACAGGTGAGCTGTCCTCTAGTGGACGTGTTTGGTACTGTTTTTTTATTTATTTGTTTTATTTAATGTTTTGTATTTTTAGGGGATTTTATGGTACTAAATTATAAATGCAGTATAGTTACAATCCATTCATTCACTTTTTGAGTAGGCTATATACTGAAAATGAAATTGAACTGTGGTAAACCTTGCCTGTTTAGACAGTAGTTCGGTGGACACGTGGCAGACGCTGCTGATCTGAGCTCAGTGTGTGCCTGTGTGCAGATGGAGGAGGGATACGAGCTGGACCTCACCTATGTGACGGAGCGCATCATCGCGGTGTCCTTCCCTCAGGACGGCTTCGAGGACACGTACCTGCGGAACCTGAGGGACGTCACGCGCATGCTGCGGTCCAAACACGCGGACAACTATCTGGTGAACACGCGTTCTCTCTCTGTCTTTCCCTTAGCCGTTCCCCGAGCGTGTTTAACTCTCGCTCGCTGCGTTTCAGGTGATCAACCTGTCGGAGAGGAAGCCGGAGCTCAGCAAGATGAACCCGAAGGTAGTGTGGAGGATCTGCTTCACTGCTGAATCACACACACACACACACACACACTTCAGGGAAGAACCACGGTTCCCTTTCGTTGTCACTCCGAGTTCCGTCGGATGACGACGAATGGGGTTTCGCTTAGAAAGCCAATTGACTTCGAGTACTACAAAACGAGCCAATGGCAAAGAAATGCCATGGGTCTGCGGAATTTGCATAGCGTAGCACCGCCCCACCTCGTGGGTATTTAAGGAGCTCGCTGGCAGCAAACCGGCATGTTTTCGCTTCGGAGCCAAGGTGATCCTTCGCTCCACCAGCCATTCCTGTACTGTCAGTTCTGCAGACGAGCGAGATTCTCTGGTGTTGGTGTGACGGCGATCTCCGGCGAGGACGCGCTTCCTGCTTTTCTGTCCGTGATTCGACAGCGAGTGTGTTTCTCCCCGGGCGCTTCAACACAGTCAGAGTTTCTTTTTCTCACAAAAGAGCTTGCACGCGGCACGTCTTTTTAAAGATGCCTCGCCCGTGCACTTCTGGTTGCGGTAGACTCGTTGATGACTCTGATGGGCACGAGTGGTGCATAGTGTGTTTGGGCGTTAATCACGCTAGAGCAGCACTCGTGGATGACTCATGTTCTCTCTGTGGGAACATGACCATCGCAGCATTACGATCAAGACTCGGTGATCTCGCAAGAGTGAGGGTCCCCTCATCCACACCCCGATCTACTGACTCTAGAAATAGAGCTAGTACTTCGGCTGGTGGCCAGGGTGATCTGAGGATGACGGTTTGGAACAAAGCGCCGACTATCAGTCCGTGCCCAGCCGCATCCTCTCCAGTGCTGCAACCCGTGAGTGTTCGGGGGATTCCGGCGGGATCATCTTCGGGTGTCCCGCGGGTTTCCTTTGACGCTCCAGAGGATGACGCGATGTCTATCGCAGCATCACAAGGTGGGTCTGAGTCTTCTGGAAGTGAAGACTCATCACAGCTGCCACCTTCGGGTGTGAATACAGTTGTGCTAGAGTCTGATCCAGAGATGACGGCCATGCTGTCTCGAGCCGCCGCGAGCATCGGGTTAGAGTGGAACCCTCCGCCCTGCCCCGAGCGCTCGCGGCTGGATGACTGGTATTTGGGTCAGGCTGCGGACCCCCGTCCGCGTCAGGCCCCGATACCTTTCTTCCCGGACGTGCATGATGAGATCTCGAAGTCCTGGAAGACTCCCATGTCTTCCCGTGACCGCTCGCTGATTTCATCCGCCTTTCCTCCCCTCGATGAGGCCGCTGCCCGTGGGTACACTGGGCTCCCCCCGGTTGAACGCTCTGTTGCGATGCAACTGTGTCCTCAGAGCGCTTCTTCTCGTGGTGAGCCTAAGCACCCATCCAAAGCCTGTATGTACTCGTCTGCGTTAGTGGCGAAGTCCTACAGAGCTGCGGGACAGGCAGCCGCCTCTTTGCATGCCATGGCCATTCTGCAGGTCTACCAGGCCCAGATGCTCAGGGACATGCACGAGGGCAGGACAGACCCGGGGCTCTTCAATGAGCTGCGCGCCGCCACCGACCTTGGTCTCCGAGCGACGAAGGTGACCGCACGCTCCCTGGGTTTGGTGATGTCCACAGCCGTGGTCCAGGAGAGACACCTCTGGCTTAATCTTGCTGATGTGGAGGACGCCGAGCGGTCCCGGCTGCTCGACACCCCCATATCGCAAGATGGCCTTTTCGGCGGTGCAGTCGAGGATTTTGCCCAACAGTTCTCGACTGCCCAGAAACAGACTGAGGCTATTAAGCACATTCTGCCCCGACGGCCCGCTGCTGCCTCCACTCAGCCGACCGGGCAGAATACTCAGTCTGTTTCCCGCCGAGGGCGCCCTCCTACGGCTCCCACCCCTCCCGCCTGGCCCAAGCAGCAGCCTTCACCCGGGCCCGGTCGCGGAGGAGGCCGTAGGAAGGCGCCCCAGCCCTCTCCAGTCCCGCCCCCCGCTAAATGCCGGGTCAAGCGGCGCTCCTGAGACGGGCTGCTCAGGGATGATGTACACTTCTCAGGAGGTGGTAGCAGGACCACTCCTTCCCCCGGTGGAGGGCCGGGGGAGAATCTTGAGAGAAGTGACACATTCATCCCTGAGCATACAGAGTTCTTGGACGACACGGTGCGCCGCCCCCGGGCCGTGCACCCCTGGTCCTCCTCTGTCCCAGAGCCGGATGACAGTGCGCGCCGTCCCCGGACCGTGCCGCTCTCATCCCCCTCTGTCGCCAGACCCCTGGCAGAGCAGACCCCCGTGGAACGTTCGTCCTTCCCTGGTCTCCTCTGTCAGGGCGCGGTTCATGACTGCACCCCCACATCGGGCCGCTATGCCGTCCACGTCTGGGTCAGTCATACCGCCTCGCTGCCCTACCGACGGGAAGTCTGTGGTTCGCATGACCCCGCTGGTTCAGTCCTTGGGAGCCTGGCTAGAGCTTCCCAACCTGTCCCGCTGGGTCGCACGAACGATCAGGCTCGGCTACGCGATTCAGTTCGCGCGGTCTCCTCCCCGCTTCAGGGGAGTCCGCTCCACTTTGGTCGGTGGCAATGCCCCTATCATGAGAGCGGAGGTTGCTACCCTGCTGGCGAAGGGTGCGATCGAGACTGTCCCTCCAGCCGAAATGAAGACCGGCTTCTACAGCCCGTATTTCATTGTCCCGAAGAAAACCGGTGGGTTACGGCCAATCCTGGACCTGCGCGTTCTGAACCGCTCCCTTCACAGGCTGCCGTTCAAGATGCTCACCGCCAAACGCGTTTTCGAATGTGTGCGGCACCAGGATTGGTTTGCAGCGATCGACCTGAAGGACGCCTACTTTCATGTCTCCATTCTCCCTCGACACAGACCGTTCCTTCGGTTTGCTTTCGAGGGTCAGGCATATCAGTACGCAGTTCTCCCATTCGGGCTAGCCCTGTCCCCTCGCGTCTTTACGAAGGTCGTCGAGGCAGCCCTTGTTCCCCTCCGGGAACACGGGGTTCGCATTCTGAACTATCTCGACGACTGGCTGATTCTAGCTCACTCTCGAGATCAGCTTTGCGAACACAGGGACTTGGTACTCCGCCATGTAGGCCGTTTGGGCCTTCGGGTCAACTGGGAGAAGAGCAAACTTTGCCCCGCGCAGAGGATCTCTTTTCTCGGTATGGAGATCGACTCGGTCGCCATGTCCGCGCAGCTTACGAGCGAGCGCGCGCAGTCACTGCTGACTTGCCTGAGACAGTTCGAGGGCAAGAGTGCGGTTCCACTGAAACTTTTTCAGAGGCTCCTGGGGCATATGGCATCTGCAGCCGCGGCAACGCCGCTCGGATTGCTTCATATGAGACCGCTTCAGCTTTGGCTTCGCGACCGAGTCCCGAGGTGGGCATGGCAACACGGCACGCTCCGAGTACCAGTTACTCCGACCTGCCGTCAGACCTTCACCCCGTGGGGGAACCTCAGCTTTCTACGGGCAGGAGTGCCTCTGGAACGAGCTTCTCGGCATGTTGTCGTAACGACAGATGCCTCCACCACGGGCTGGGGTGCCATGTGCAATGGACGTGCTGCCGCGGGCTCCTGGATAGGACCCCACCGCTTATGGCACATCAATTGCCTCGAGTTGCTGGCTGTACAGCTCGCCCTGCGCCGCTTCCGAGCCGTGCTCTCGGGCCAGCATGTACTAGTCCGATCAGACAATACCGCGACTGTAGCGTACATCAACCGTCAAGGTGGTCTGCGCTCTCGCCGTATGTCGCAACTCGCCCGCCACCTCCTATTTTGGAGTCAGAAGCATCTGAGGTCGCTTCGTGCCATCTATATTCCAGGAGCTCTGAACTGTGCAGCCGACGAGCTCTCACGGTTTCAGCCCCTCCCGGGAGATTGGCGACTCCATCCCCAGTCGGTTCAGCTGATTTGGGACCAGTTCGGGGACGCACAGATAGATCTGTTTGCCTCTCACGACTCGACCCATTGCGCCCTGTATTATTCCCTGACCGAGGGCACGCTCGGCACGGATGCACTGGCGCACAGCTGGCCGCGGGGCCGCAAGTATGCGTTTCCCCCAGTGGGCCTCCTTGCGCAGACCCTGCGCAAGGTCAGGGAGGACGAGGAGCAGGTCACCTTGGTAGCGCCGTACTGGCCCACCCGGACCTGGTTCTCCGAACTTGTACTCCTCGCGACAGCACCTCCTTGGCCAATTCCTCTGAGGAAGGACCTCCTTTCTCAGGGACGGGGCACCCTATGGCACCCTCGTCCCGATCTTTGGAACCTCCACGTGTGGCTCCTGGATGGGACGAGGCAGGTTTGAGTACCCTGCCACCAGCGGTGGCGGCTACCATCACTTCCGCCAGAGCGTCGTCCACGAGACACCTCTACGCGTTGAAGTGGAACCTCTTCGTCAGCTGGTGCTCTTCTCGTCGAGAAGAGCCCCGGAGTTGTTCGATCAGTGTTGTGCTTTCCTTTCTTCAAGAAGGGTTGGAGCGTAGGCTGTCTCCCTCCACCCTTAAGGTCTATGTCGCCGCTATTGCCGCACAGCATGACCTTATAGAAGGTAAGTCTTTGGGGAAGCATGACCTGATCGTCAGGTTCCTGAGAGGAGCGAGGAGACTGAATCCTCCTCGCCCTCCTCTCGTACCCTCTTGGGACCTCACAGTGGTCCTAACTGCCCTGCGCAGTGCTCCCTTTGAGCCTTTGCAGTCAGTCGAGCTAAACTTCCTATCTATGAAGACGGCGCTTCTGACTGCATTGGCCTCCGTTAAGAGGGTAGGGGACCTGCACGCATTCTCCGTTGACGAAGCATGCCTGGAATTCGGGCCGGCGTACTCTCACGTGTTCCTGAGACCCCGGCTTGGATATGTGCCCAAGGTTCCTACCACTCCCTTTCGGGACCAGGTGGTGAACCTGCAAGCGCTGCCCCAGGAGGAGGCAGACCCAGCCTTGGCACTGCTCTGTCCAGTACGTGCTCTTCGCATCTATGTAGACAGAACGCAGTGTTTCAGGACCTCAGACCAGCTCTTTGTCTGTTATGGTGGGAAGCTGAAGGGAAAGGCTCTCTCCAAGCAAAGGTTGTCTCACTGGATAGTGGACGCCATTGCTTTGGCATACCAGCAGCAAGGTCGACCGTGCCCCCTTGGTGTGACTGCCCACTCCACCCGGAGTGTGGCATCCTCTTGGGCTCTAGCGCATGGCGCCTCGCTAACAGACATCTGCAGAGCTGCAGGCTGGGCGACACCTAACACATTCGCCAGATTCTACAATCTCCGAGTGGAGCCTGTGTCCTCTCATGTACTCGCTTCAACCAGCTAGTACCGGACCCGCTCAGGTGTCTTCGCTTGCTCGCCATTCCACTCTACGGACTGGATACGTGCGATATTCTCCTCAGGTGAGCTTCTCCGAAAGCCCTGAGTTCCTCCAGCACTCCTGACGTCGGCGCCAGTGTCTCTTGCCTGCGCGTCGGCTAGGTGCCTCCCGTGTGCATGGTACCTCCCTGAGCTACCCCCACATGTGTATTCCCACTGTAAGCCTCTCTGAGCATGTGTCTTTCCCTTGGCAAGCCACCTTGCTACCCCTGGGGTTGAAATATTCCACCTGCGGCTGGACACCCCAGTGATTCCCCATATGCATCCCTCGGGTCATATGTGTATTCTTAAGTCCCCCCCTCTGGGTTGGCAGTAATTGCATACTTCCCTAAAGTTCTGGGATATGCTCCCCAGTGTACCTTGGTATTCCTGTGTTAAATAGGAGTCCTTCGTCCGTGCTAGTCTCACGACAGGGATCTCAGATTTACGCAGGGCACTGGAAGACAGCTGAGAAATGGCGTGATTAGACTGGTATCCCCATTCGTCGTCATCCGACGGAACTCGGAGTGACAACGAAAGGGAACGTCTCGGTTACGGATGTAACCCTCGTTCCCTGAGTAGGGAACGGAGACGTTCCGTCTGTCTGCCACTTCCGCTGTGCCGCGGGGATCGCCTGAGCTCAGTCTTGGCTCCTCAGCGAAGAAAACATGCCGGTTTGCTGCCAGCGAGCTCCTTAAATACCCACGAGGTGGGGCGGTGCTACGCTATGCAAATTCCGCAGACCCATGGCATTTCTTTGCCATTGGCTCGTTTTGTAGTACTCGAAGTCGATTGGCTTTCTAAGCGAAACCCCATTCGTCGTCATCCGACGGAACGTCTCCGTTCCCTACTCAGGGAACGAGGGTTACATCCGTAACCGAGACGTTTCCTAGCATACCTGTCAACACTCCCGTTTTTCCCGGGTTTCTCCCGTTTTTTAGCCCTATCTCCCGGACCCCTCCCGGTTTGTTATTTCTCCCGGGAAACTCCCGTAATTTGCATGGCCCAAACTCCTTTATGAATAATCGGACCAATATGTTTGTCTAATGTTGACCAGTTGCCAGATTGTATTAAATGCAGTATATTCAAACAATCCACAGACCATTTACAATTTTAACCCGTTTGTCACCTCAACCTGGCAACATATAACAGCCCGTTCTCATCCCAAAGCGTAATATACTGACTCTTTTGCCAAAGCGTCTATATCCAACGCACATGGCACCCTTTAGCGTCATATGAGACGCAGATATATGGCGCCTCCTAGTGGTCTAACCCTAACACTACCCCAGACCTAAACCTACCCAAAACCGAAGCGTGTTATATTGACGCTAAAGGGTGCCATGTGCGTTGGATATAGACCAGGGATGGGCGACTTCGGTCCTTGAGGGCCATTGTCCCTACAGAGTTTAGCTTCAACCCTAATCAAACACACCTGAACAAGCTAATCAAGGTCTTCAGGATTACTAGAAAGTTACAGGCAGGTGATTTTTTCAGGGTTGGAGCTAAACTCTGTAGGACAGTGGCCCTCCAGGACCGAAGTTGCCCATCCCTGATATAGACGCTTTGTCAAAAGAGTCAATATATTACGCTTTGGGATGAGAATTTACCCAGTTGTGTAGTCGCGGAAAGTTTAACCCGAAAGCGAGCCGATAGACATGATGGCAGGTGAAGGTGGTGTCCCCGCAATGAAACTGAAGTACAGTTTGTAATGCGTCGCTTCAGGAAGATTAGGGATAGCTCACAACTGAAGTTATTGCATGCAGAGGCCAGACAGACACACGGAGGCGATTGGCATCACAACTCGCACTTTATTCCCAAATCCAACTCGTGTAGCCTAACTGTCTGTCACACGTTCTACCGTCCACATCGTTATTTAATAAACAAAATAAGAAAAAAATTAGCATCAAACAGAAATTACTCGCATTCATGGGGTGTTCGCATAGACAGTAAAAGGGGTGTTCGAGGCCCAGGCACATACAATACAATACTGCCGACAGTTCAACAGGGAGCGCACAGCTCTTAAAGGGGCCACACCTTATTTCCATTCGTTACAAGCTGTACAGTTACTCAAAATGTCCCGAAGCCCTAAAATATGAGTCTTTTTTTTTTTTTCAGAAAGCCTATTTTATTTCGTTTTGATATTATTTTTTTAACTTTTTTAATGCAAGTTTTTATGTTATTTTTGTTTTATACATTCTTTCAACTTAAATTCAAAATAACTCACACTTTCATGCATTACCCTTTTAATTCAGATCTAAATATCATACATCAGGAGTCTTTGACCTCTTGTGGAAATATAATAACACATGATATTTCATGCCTCTAGATGGGCTTATAGGCAAGTCAACTTTATTGTCAATCAAACCATGCAACAGTACATTACGCAGCAGACTGAAATTGCGCTTCTCCAATGTGCAATATTAAAACAAATTTTTTTTTTGTTAAATTAAAAAAACATTTTTTATAGCTGGAGCAGAGGAGCTGTTCCGCTGGATCCTAAAGCCGATTTCTCTTCAGTGTGCATTCAGATACACATGTACACATTATACAATCATTTTTTGGTAAAGTTTTAGCATTTTTAGTTTTAAATTTGATCATTTTTAGGTTTTTCTATGTGTACTGAAGCATTCCTCGCATTCCACTCATTCCTAAGGGAGTCAGATTGACTCGTGAGGGAAGGATTTGATACTTTTTAAAATTTTAACCACAAAACTCCTCGAATCAATTACATTTTTTGTGTGTGTATTCGTGGTTCAAGTGTGACAAGAGTTGTAGAGTCTTGGACCCCTCTGATAAACACTCAATTTGTAAAAATCTTTTGAAAAGATGAGTTTCGGGTCAAAATGAGCAGAGGGAAGGATGAGTGTTAAAAGTGCATGCCAGCGCTGATGTGTGTGTGTGTGTGTGTGTGTGTGTGTGTGTCCTCAGACTCTGGACACGGGCTGGCCGGACCTGCACGCTCCTCCTCTGGATAAGATCTGCACCGTCTGCAAGGCCATGGAGAACTGGCTGAGCGCTGACCCGCTGCACGTGGTGGTCATTCACTGCAGGGTGAGGCGCCTCACACACACACACACACACACACACACACACAGGCTGTGGAGATCACTGTGTGTGTAACGCTTCTCCTCTCTCTGATCCTCCAGGGTGGCAAGGGTCGGATCGGAGTCGTCATCTCCTCATTCGTTCACTTCACAGACGTCTCTGCCAGGTACTCTTCAGTTATACAGTAAAATACACTGAAACAATAATAATAATGATAATAATAATAATACTAATAGTAAAAGGAATAATCATGTTTTAATTTGAACAATAGTTTTTTTTTTTATCTGATTACATTTTTCAAAAGTTTAAATAAATTGTTAATATTATATGTCAAGTCAAGTCATCTTCATTTATATAGCGCTTTTAACAATGGAGATTGTTTCAAAGCAGCTTTACAGAGATAAACATACAATTTACGGTAACAGAGATTGTTTTGGCTTTGAATAATGTTATTTCCGGCTAAAGTTGGTTTTGATTGATTCACTTCCAGCAAAATTATCATTTGTTATTACATTAGGGTGATCATATGTGTGATTACTACCATGTTTATAATAAATTTGTATTGAACCATAAATCCAGAAAAAAATTCAAACACAACACAGAATTTCTGGAAAACAAAACATTTCATAAGGCATTATTATTGTAAGTTTTACTTACATTTGTAAAGATTAAATAAATTGTTAATATTATGTATTTGATAACCAACGCACAACACATAATTTCTGGAACACAAAGCACTTCATAGGCATTATTATTGGAAAGAAAAAATAATAAATTGATTTTTGGTTATTAAGTTTAATTAAACCATTTAAAATGGAAAACATGGAATATGGGGAAATATATATTTTTTTTTTTATAAATTGTTGTTAAATTATATACGTTTCGTGATTTCAATTCATTTTAATTACTTAAACTTCATTTAAAAAGTCCCTAAGCGACGTCTTTGAATAAGCGAGTGTTAGTGATCTTCAGTCACGGGTGTAGCTCTTCCTAGCTGATCTAACTCAGTGCTTTGTTTACTGTATTTAGTTTGATTGATATAGAATGATATTTCTCAGTTGGATCAGCCAGTGGATGTTATATGTGGATGTTATTGGCTGATGTGGATGTTATGTGAGTATGTTATTGGCTGATGTGGATGTTATATGTGGATGTTATCGGCTGATGTGGATGTTATATGTGGATGTTATCGGCTGATGTGGATGTTATATGTGGATGTTATTGGCCGATGTGGATGTTATGTGTGGATGTTATTGGCTGATGTGGATGTTATGTGTGGATGTTATTGGCTGATGTGGATGTTATATATGGATGTTATTGGCTGATGTGGATGTTATGTGTGGATGTTATTGGCTGATGTGGATGTTATGTGTGGATGTTATCGGCTGATGTGGATGTTATGTGTGGATGTTATTGGCTGATGTGGATGTTATGTGTGGATGTTATTGGCTGATGTGGATGTTATGTGTGGATGTTATTGGCTGATGTGGATGTTATGTGTGGATGTTATTGGCTGATGTGGATGTTATGTGTGGATGTTATCGGCTGATGTGGATGTTATATATGGATGTTATTGGCTGATGTGGATGTTATGTGTGGATGTTATCGGCTGATGTGGATGTTATGTGTGGATGTTATTGGCTGATGTGGATGTTATATATGGATGTTATTGGCTGATGTGGATGTTATGTGTGGATGTTATCGGCTGATGTGGATGTTATGTGTGGATGTTATCGGCTGATGTGGATGTTATTGGCTGATGTGGATGTTATGTGGATGTTATTGGCTGATGTGGATGTTATGTGTGGATGTTATTGGCTGATGTGGATGTTATATGTGGATGTTATTGGCTGATGTGGATGTTATATGTGGATGTTATCGGCTGATGTGGATGTTATATGTGGATGTTATCGGCTGATGTGGATGTTATGTGTGGATGTTATCGGCTGATGTGGATGTTATTGGCTGATGTGGATGTTATGTGGATGTTATTGGCTGATGTGGATGTTATGTGTGGATGTTATTGGCTGATGTGGATGTTATGTGTGGATGTTATCGGCTGATGTGGATGTTATATGTGGATGTTATTGGCTGATGTGGATGTTATATATGGATGTTATTGGCTGATGTGGATGTTATGTGTGGATGTTATCGGCTGATGTGGATGTTATGTGTGGATGTTATCGGCTGATGTGGATGTTATTGGCTGATGTGGATGTTATGTGGATGTTATTGGCTGATGTGGATGTTATGTGTGGATGTTATTGGCTGATGTGGATGTTATGTGTGGATGTTATTGGCTGATGTGGATGTTATGTGTGGATGTTATCGGCTGATGTGGATGTTATATATGGATGTTATTGGCTGATGTGGATGTTATGTGTGGATGTTATTGGCTGATGTGGATGTTATATATGGATGTTATTGGCTGATGTGGATGTTATGTGTGGATGTTATTGGCTGATGTGGATGTTATGTGTGGATGTTATCGGCTGATGTGGATGTTATGTGTGGATGTTATTGGCTGATGTGGATGTTATGTGTGGATGTTATTGGCTGATGTGGATGTTATGTGGATGTTATCGGCTGATGTGGATGTTATATGTGGATGTTATCGGCTGATGTGGATGTTATGTGTGGATGTTATTGGCTGATGTGGATGTTATGTGGATGTTATTGGCTGATGTGGATGTTATATGTGGATGTTATGTGTGGATGTTATTGGCTGATGTGGATGTTATATGTGGATGTTATGTGTGGATGTTATTGGCTGATGTGGATGTTATGTGGATGTTATCGGCTGATGTGGATGTTATATGTGGATGTTATCGGCTGATGTGGATGTTATGTGTGGATGTTATTGGCTGATGTGGATGTTATGTGTGGATGTTATTGGCTGATGTGGATGTTATGTGTGGATGTTATTGGCTGATGTGGATGTTATATGTGGATGTTATGTGTGGATGTTATTGGCTGATGTGGATGTTATGTGGATGTTATCGGCTGATGTGGATGTTATATGTGGATGTTATCGGCTGATGTGGATGTTATGTGTGGATGTTATTGGCTGATGTGGATGTTATGTGTGGATGTTATTGGGTGATGTGGATGATATGTGTGGATGTTATTGGCTGATGTGGATGTTATATGTGGATGTTATCGGCAGATGTGGATGTTATATGTGGATGTTATTGGCTGATGTGGATGTTATGTGTGGATGTTATTGGCTGATGTGGATGTTATATGTGGATGTTATGTGTGGATGTTATTGGCTGATGTGGATGTTATGTGGATGTTATCGGCTGATGTGGATGTTATATGTGGATGTTATCGGCTGATGTGGATGTTATGTGTGGATGTTATTGGCTGATGTGGATGTTATGTGTGGATGTTATTGGCTGATGTGGATGTTATATGTGGATGTTATTGGCTGATGTGGATGTTATGTGTGGATGTTATTGGCTGATGTGGATGTTATGTGTGGATGTTATTGGCTGATGTGGATGTTATGTGTGGATGTTATCGGCTGATGTGGATGTTATGTGTGGATGTTATCGGCTGATGTGGATGTTATATGTGGATGTTATCGGCTGATGTGGATGTTATGTGTGGATGTTATCGGCTGATGTGGATGTTATTGGCTGATGTGGATGTTATATGTGGATGTTATTGGCTGATGTGGATGTTATGTGTGGATGTTATTGGCTGATGTGGATATTATATGTGGATTTTATTGGCTGATGTGGATGTTATGTGTGGATGTTATCGGCAGATGTGGATGTTATATGTGGATGTTATTGGCTGATGTGGATGTTATGTGGATGTTATTGGCTGATGTGGATGTTATATGTGGATGTTATCGGCTGATGTGGATGTTATGTGTGGATGTTATTGGCTGATGTGGATGTTATGTGTGGATGTTATTGGCTGATGTGGATGTTATGTGTGGATGTTATCGGCTGATGTGGATGTTATGTGTGGATGTTATCGGCTGATGTGGATGTTATATGTGGATGTTATCGGCTGATGTGGATGTTATGTGTGGATGTTATTGGCTGATGTGGATGTTATGTGTGGATGTTATTGGCTGATGTGGATGTTATGTGTGGATGTTATCGGCAGATGTGGATGTTATGTGTGGATTTTATTGGCTGATGTGGATGTTATGTGTGGATGTTATTGGCTGATGTGGATGTTATGTGGATGTTATTGGCTGATGTGGATGTTATATGTGGATGTTATCGGCTGATGTGGATGTTATGTGTGGATGTTATCGGCTGATGTGGATGTTATGTGTGGATGTTATCGGCTGATGTGGATGTTATGTGTGGATGTTATCGGCTGATGTGGATGTTATGTGTGGATGTTATGTGAGGATGTTATGTGAGGATGTTATCGGCTGATGTGGATGTTATGTGTGGATGTTATCGGCTGATGTGGATGTTATGTGTGGATGTTATCGGCTGATGTGGATGTTATGTGAGGATGTTATTGGCTGATGTGGATGTTATGTGTGGATGTTATCGGCTGATGTGGATGTTATGTGTGGATTTTATTGGCTGATGTGGATGTTATGTGTGGATGTTATTGGCTGATGTGGATGTTATGTGTGGATGTTATCGGCTGATGTGGATGTTATGTGTGGATGTTATTGGCTGATGTGGATGTTATGTGGATGTTATTGGCTGATGTGGATGTTATGTGTGGATGTTATCGGCTGATGTGGATGTTATGTGTGGATGTTATCGGCTGATGTGGATGTTATGTGTGGATGTTATCGGCTGATGTGGATGTTATGTGTGGATGTTATTGGCTGATGTGGATGTTATGTGTGGATGTTATTGGCTGATGTGGATGTTATGTGTGGATGTTATCGGCTGATGTGGATGTTATGTGTGGATTTTATTGGCTGATGTGGATGTTATGTGTGGATGTTATTGGCTGATGTGGATGTTATGTGTGGATGTTATCGGCTGATGTGGATGTTATGTGTGGATGTTATCGGCTGATGTGGATGTTATGTGTGGATGTTATCGGCTGATGTGGATGTTATGTGTGGATGTTATCGGCTGATGTGCATGTTATGTGTGGATGTTATCGGCTGATGTGGATGTTATGTGTGGATGTTATCGGCTGATGTGGATGTTATGTGTGGATGTTATCGGC